CAAACTGAGTCATTATACCTATTATCTTAACTGATTGTCACTTGTTTCTAATATTCATTAGTTTTATTGTATTTATTTATTAACACTTCGTTGCATACAGAGATGCAATGACATAAATAAATAAAAAAACTATTTTAATCTATTTTATACATTTTCAAATATCCAATAGTGTTTGTAGACAAAAAAATAGTTGGGGGGGGGGGGGGGGCCCCGGGGGGGAAGGGCCCCCCCGGAGGGTTAAATTTTTTTATTTTACTTTTTTTGAATTGCAAAGGGAAATAGCCATGACCTGGCGGGCGTCAGCCCTGCACGTCTACCTTTTTGGACGTTAATAAATTGGTTTCAATACTTGTTTCTGTAAATTTGAAAATTTTATAGGATAAAGTTTATTTATTGTACATCTTAAAAAAAATTGACAGGCGATTACAATAAGCAGAAGTATATGACAGATCAATTAGAAAACGTACAGTTGATGAGTTAAAATAAACTTTATCCTGTAACTTAAAATTTTATATTTTTCAAAAACGTCTCAGAGTAAATATGTACAATCAGGCGGTTTTGAACAGCAAGACATAAGGGGGGCCTTTAAATTAGTAAAGGTTTTCAATACTCATAGTCAATAGAATAGAAACAAGATGTACATGTATTTATCGTAGCATTTATTAGGAACCTTAATATAAGAAAATCATACAAGTAGCGGAATGATGGTTGCCATCGTGATATACCCAAAATATTAATGTAGTGGTATCATTTTAACCTGCAAAAACAATCGTAATTAGTTATTATACCAAATGATTTGATGTCAATAGGCATTAGTTTATTGCTTCAAATACTAAACTTTGGCAATTGAAAACATAAGAATAGAAAATCATGACTCATATGCGTCCTATAATACATGGATTTTTGATGTTAATACCACCTTTCATAGACACAGAATGTACAATGTGTAAAACATTTTACCTATAAATTACTTGTGGAAAAGGTATTGAAATTCCCCTAATCTTTTAATGACTTTGTGTAAAAATCAGAGATATAGCGTAGACAAAAATGTTTTGGATATGATATTATTGGGAGTAGTATAACGTCATAAAGGTGGGAAAAAAACTTACCTTATACGCTCTGTTGTGTCACAAACAACCAGTTGACAGGGGTGGAATTTCTCATATTGCCACGAGTTTTCCACATATCTACAACATTGAAAATTAAATTTATTTACATCTTCCCTTATAGGCAGAGACCACGCTGTCATCATGTCTTTTTCCCGAACTTGCCACGGTCCTGTCATACATCTCTCGCTTCAACCATATGACATTCACCATGCAAGCTCGTTGGTTATGGGAACTTTACGACTGTGTATTTGCCTGTTGTTTCCACGAGAATGTAAGTGCGTGCTCCTATTTCACCATGTCTACTGCTGATAGAGGACAAATCTTTGTTTTTAATTTATTTTATTGAAGTGAAACTTCTTTAGGCACATGAGAGTAAAATTTTTACGGAACGTCACGAAGATGTGCAGCGTTTTAGTCGAAGAAAAGGGAAGAGCGCGATTGAGACCGATTGAGAGAGAGTGAGAAGGGCGACTTACCTTATAGAAATTCTATTCTTAAAAATAAAATTTCGTAAAGAATTTATGAAATATTAGAATTTTATATTTTATGCAAAATAATTTATTGAAATCTCAAATGACGAATTGTAAATTAAAATGCCACGTGTTTTTATAGTCGAAGTCGAAGAAATAAATTTAAAAAATTAAATTTATTATTTTTAATAATTTTCGACACTTTTAATATTTTAATGACAATTAAATTTCTAACATTCCTTCCTTTTTCCCTCTCTTCCCTTCCCTAGTAAATGTAAAATTAGAAGCATTTAGCACTTAATATGTATTTCTTTATTGATGTTCATAAGTGTACATTGTGTTACCTAAATGAATAAATTATTTTGACTTTGACTTTAAACATTTACCTTCTCTACTACCTTCTGGATGGGGTCCCGGTATGTTCGAGAAGGTTTACCAAACTCGACTTCACTTTTTCATAACGGTTGCCTCCTACTTCTAAGCCGCTTCTCATCCATCCGTTCTACATGACCACACCTAATAAGCGTTACCTTTCGTATCTGCTCCTCTTTTAAGACACATTGCTCACGAGCACTATTACCTATCACGCAATGTTACACTACAAATACTTGTTAACGCTCTCATTTCCACGGCATTTATTCTACTTTCATTCTTTCTCTGCCACACCCAACATTCACTACCATAAGATAACGTCGGGATTAGCACTGCCTCATTTGAGATTTCTTGGCTAAGCAAAAAGGAATGCCACGCCCTATTTACTCTATTCCCATTCAGACGTCTTTAAGAATGACCACGCAATTACATTTAATTTTAATATATACGTGTCTATAGAACAGTTTTGTAATTTAATATGAAAACTTACCTTTTTCGAACAAAAACGGTTCTATACTAAACATTAGCCTTCCACTAGTAGGGAAATCATTTTAACAAATAAATAAACCAAAACAAAATAAATCCAAGTTCTAACTTAATAAGAAAGGTTTCCTAACATTTAACATACTTTTTACATAATTAATTTTATTGCCTTTATTTATACAGGGGGTTCTGGAAACACATTTATAGCACTATAATAAAATGTCACTACCATGAGCGGATCGTGAATTTGTGGGGCTCTGGGCTATTACCGTAAAATCCCCCGTAAAGACGCACACGAAAAAATACAACGACCAAAAAAAAGCGACAAGGAATTCCCGTTTCGTTCGATAAACGGCCGTGGATTGACTGATCTCCGGGATACCGAGGTGATGATTGGAAAAAAAAAATAAAATATCGCCTATTCTTTTCAGTGGGAACTGGGAAATTTCCTTTTCTTATTTGGTGATTACGTCAACAGTAATTATTTACTTTTAACACATATTACCCACACATTGTCTATGCTTGAAAACGAAATGCATTTTCGAGGATTCCTACAAAAAATTAATACCTTTATGTACTATTATTTTTTTAGAGTTTTGCTTACTTGCTAACAAGAGGAAGGCGGGGAGGGGGATAAATTGCAGTATATCTGCTTACGTAATACTTGAACGGCCCCAGGGGTAAAATTCTCACGCTGAAGCCATTGAACCAACACTGCTTTTTATTATTGTACACACTCAACATATTAATAAACACTAATGATAAGGTTATACTGCAGATTTCTTGACCGGCAAACTATTTAATCCATAAGTTATACTAGTTCTTTCAATATTGGTAAGGTCGTACCATTAAGTCACGTGGTAGTGTGCATTGTTTCATAAATGCATGATTAACATGAAACCCCCCTTACTTGACGTAAGCTCGACATACAATTTCGCTTAGATTACGATAATCTAAAATATAATAGTCTAGATAATCTATAAGTACGGATTAAGTTAAATTTTACAAATGTGTTGTCCAAATTCTTTTTATTTACCGCAAGTGTTAACTAGACAGTGAGTGCACTTTATGTAACAATGTTGCATCTCTTCTTCTAAACAATCTGAACCGTAGTTTATGCCGTTGCCATAATAAATTGTTAGGGTTCAACGATCTTAAGCCATTTGCAAAATTTTAATTATATCTGATAAGCCGTTTGGTCACAATAATTTTTATTCGTTTTTATTACAAACAACACTTGTATATAGTAAAAATACAATGCGTAGTTCCCATAGACAATTTTTACAATAGACGTTACCGTTTTGAGTTACGCTTTTGTGCGAAAGGAGTGGATATGTCGCAGCCAACTAGCTTAATTAGCCGTTCAATTAACAGCCTAGCATTTTAACTAAACGGCGCCGTTTAACTAGCGGCCTGAAAGATATTCAGCCGTAGCGTTTGTTACAACATTTAATAAACTGGCTGGCTAATGCTAAGGCCATTCGCACGATAGAGTCATTATTTGGCAGAAATAAAAGAGATGAAACAAATGACATAAAAAATTATTTCTTTTGAAATTAAATTGCTCGAGTCAATTCACATTATTATTGTCACTACACTCTTCCATTGTACTTGTTGTTTTTCATGAAACTTTGGAAAACACCATGAAAGTTGTGGTTTGCCGACGCCATTTTGAAGAATTTCGTTTCGAGTTTTAGAGTGGCAGAAAGTGGAATTAAATTTAAATTAACAGTCAACATGCTAGGCAAGTAATGTTGTTTGATCAACTGATTGAACGTCTTTCAGGCCGCTAGCTTAACGGCGCCGTTTAGTTAAAATAATGCAACAGATATATCATAAAAGTAGGTATGCTAGTCAAAAGACGCCGCGCGGCGCGGACACTATCCCCTGCCCCACTTCCTTTTTGGTCTCAGTCGATTTATCACCGTGACGAAAATTGGTTACTAAATTCTTTCATGCGCAGGTACCGATCCCTTATGCGCGCGTAGTAATCCTAATTCTTACGAATTAAACTAAAGAAATTGTGATTTGAAAAACATTATATGAAATACGTAGGTATGTATATTTCACAGCCTGTATATTTTTATTGTTATTATAATCATTAAGCATACAGATTAATGTGATTATGAATATTGTTTCACGGTGTCTGATTTATGAAACAGTATAATATAAACAAAATCATTATTTGACTTCATGATAAGATTTTCATCTGTACAAAAAAATCCAGTCACGAAATTTCGAACAGTTCTGGAAAAATATTATTCGTATTATGTAATTATATTCAATTGATATAAAATAGTTTATTTTATGGTTTCATAAGTAGAGCTAAACTAAAAAATAATAGATTTTTCTATAACGCTCGCAAGAGAGAGGGCTCGCAAGTGCATTACCTGCTTATTAATCATTTGGATTACTTCGGAATCGGTATTACTGTAGGGAGTTCCACGTGGTGGTGCTTGCTTAATGAAAACTGTCATTAAAAAATCGACAGATACAGAAAACTGTCGATAATATATCATCAAAATTCACATCACGAATAAATAAAAAATAATTTAAACAAATATTTTTAATCAATTTCCAGCTTTCTAAAAGAACCCTCAACACCTCCAAAAATATCTGCGTAACTCTTCACTTTTCCAGGCCTCAGTGATTCCACAACACGTTTCTTATTTTCCTCTGCAAAAAACGTCTGTGCTGCTTCTAGTTTCTTGAAAACCTCTTCTATAATCAAAGAAAAAGATTATGGATTTAAAAATTTATCTTAAAATACACTTAAGAATATGACTTAAAATTGTCAAAAATAGATTTAATAATCTGTATTATATAATATTTCTCTTCTAAAATGCGTGTGTTTGTTGTATCTATAATTGGTATATATATATATCTATAAATACCAACAACGAAGTTCACGAACACCTTAAAATGAGAACTATCAAAGAGGAAATTCGGAAACTGGCAGCTAAATACAAAGAGCTGTCACCCGAACGAACTTGCTCGCCAACTCACCATACCAACTCACCAACAGTATGTTAGACGAATAAAACGTCAACATATTCTAGAGCTAGAAGACCAGCAAGAGTTATAGGCAGCAGAAGAGTAGATGCTTCCAATGGGAAGCCACTCCACATGATAGCACCACAGAACAGATTTGGTACTTAGGGCTGATTGCAAATAATCGCAGAAGAAAAAAAATATTGTAATGTTGTGATTTCCTCTTAAGTCTACTCGTGTAAAAACAAAACCACGTTCCTTTACAATACTTAAATTGAATGTAGTATTCGCAAAAACAAAAGACAATAAACGATGTCTAGGTAGGTAGTTATCAGAAAAAATATTTTATTGAAAAGGATAGGTCTAATCTTTAGCAAATATAAAATACAAAAGTACAAAAATCGAGGGTAAAAAGTAATATGAACAACGTATGGGCCAATGAGAGCTTTCCAGAGAGACGTGACGAAGAAGAGCTTCATTCTAAGAAGCCGTAACATATGTTCTAGTCATTTGTCTATTGTCTGTAAATTATGGTGACATTTATGTGATAACATTTATTTAACACCGGCATTCGGAGACAGACACACACTCAAGACGCCAGTCAACATGGAAGCTTTCTAAACACCACAATAAAAACATATGCCCTATTACTTTAGTGAGACTCCAATTAATAGCTATGAGTAATACAAGATCTCAAGTAAAAAATTTAAACAATCTTTTTATCTCCATAAACAACCAAATAAAAGCTGCGTCTCGAACCATAATCGGAAATTGGGTGCGCACGGTTCTCAAAGATAGTGGAATCTATGCATCTCCAGGGAGTTGTTGGGCAGCAGTATTGCTTTGGAAATCTTCAAATACACCTAATTACGCGGAGATAGACTCTCGTAAGAAAATTAGGAGGTAAATTATTTGTTTTGTAAATCTCATCAAAATAGTTATATTTTTCTCGGGGACATTGAAACGAAGATACATTATTTATTTTTTTTTTTTTAATACAATTCACCCAATGACCTAGTCCCATGCGAGCTAGTGAAGCTCGTGTTAGGTAAGATACATACATATTATATATAGGTAGAATATATATAATATTTAAACACCCAAGACCTAAGCTCAATTCCAAATCTCACATCAACGATAGTTCGTCTCAGCCGGACGAAACCCAGATTTGCAGTACAGGGTACTAACCACTAGACCAAGAGTCGTCTAACTCTAAACTAAGACTAATACTTGTACTTATGCTTTGATTAAGAATATTGGCAAGTAAATAAAAATGTTATGTAAACAATAACGTCTTTAGCTAAAGCCTGACTTTAATTCTTCATAATCATCATAGCGTTGTGTTTTATACTGTACTTTATACATCCACCAGCAGATAACAAACACGTCTTCATTATACAATGCTGCATGTTTTCCTGAAGCACATCAATATGACGGTTTTACATAAAAATAAAAACCGATATTATGTAGGAAGCTCCTGGTGAAGACTCTATGACTGTGGAAATGACAACGTCCTAGCTGGTTAAGATAAAGAAGAGCGATACAGGCCAACTACTCTATCTAAGTGGAACTATTTCACTCGGTATGTATGACTTCATGGCGAAGCAAACATTGCTACTTCGTTATACAAGCTGTAGTTTTCCTTCTCGGCACATAATATCGGTTTAATTTTTATGAAACCGTCATATTAAGTCATTAAGCGCCTGCCAAAATATTACGGCAATATGGGAAATTGCTCCTTCGAAATTTAATTTCCGAATGGTGTAAGATTTTTCAGTGTCATAGGGTAGTTATATATAAAGTTAATAAATCATTCATAGGTCTAACTGTACGCTTCTATAGTAAACTACCAAGTGATGTGGTAAACTTGTCAAATAAAGCTAATATTATCTGTAGTACCTATAGCTTATTATAAAATATCGGATTACCTAGAAGATTCCTTGGAATTAAAATAATTTGCTCCAGCTATTTACTTTAATTGTAACTAATATAAGCATTGTAAATAACTTAAGACAATAAAAAAAAAACAGCCTGTGGTTACCTTACCTTTCGCCTTGTGCGCTGGTCGGGATTCCGAACAGGCGGTAGAGTTGACAATTTAAAGTTATCACGTGATTCAACTGAATAAATTCTTTAATTTAATACATTCTACAAAAGTGCTTACCACTCAGCTCTGCGACGGTTTTGTAATTTCCACCAACATCTTTGGGAAATGCTGCCAGAGGTAGCACCTTGCCAATGTTTTTAAAACCATCCGTGTAAAACTCCAATAAATTTATCATTTCATTTTTAATAAACGGCTTCATTATAGTCATTAAACGGTCAAAATACGACGGAGTATTTAATAAATGCATTTTCTTTAACTTCAAAGGAATTGCCTCCTGAAATTATAAATATTAGTTTACTTATCAAAATATTATTTATTTATTTTTAAAAACACTCCTGCCTAAGCAGGCGACCCTAAATAATTGACAAGAGTGAATAAAATTTACAGACGAAACAAAAAAGCAAACTTATTTAACATACAAAATTAATTAGGAAAAACAAAATTACATAATAAAAAATACAAGAAATTAACTATCTACTATAGGCACTAACAAATAATAGAACTTTTGCCAGTTCACTCAACGGACAATGAAAAAGGTCCGTTAACCTATGTAATTCGTTAACTAAATTAAAACACCGAATCATAATGTATACTTTAAACGTCAAAAATTTAATGTACATTTACTGCCAGTTCCCAAAACAGTGGCGTAGAATGAACTCAAAAAAACAGACTATAATCCGTTTTCACTACCTTTATTCGCCAAGACTTTTAACGCAAAGAATATATGTCTCTATGGGCTTTCAGGATATCTCTCTAATCAGACCAGAACCCTCTGTAAGTTCCTATTGCGATCCCGACCACAATATTAAGCATGGTTTCCCAACTAAATCAAACTTGTATACAAAACCACTGACTATACTGCCATTATTGGAAGTTACTTTAGTACTTAAATGAACCTATCAGATAATTTCAAATACTGACTTTGAAATCCTTATACTATCTACGGTAGTAAAATTGCCACACAAATATCCGAAATACTAAAAACATCGACATATAGATATATATTTGACAAAGGTATCGTTTTGGTATCAATACCAAGAGCCGGTGTACGATTTCTACTTAAGTACCTTGTCAAACTCGGCTTCTGTCCTCGTACCTCCAACAAATAAATAATTGGCAGAATTTAATATTGCCGATTTTAATAATAATTGTAAACGAAAAGCCAAAAAGCCCACATTTTAAAGTTTGTTAATACCAATCATATATGGCGCAAATTTCAATTGGTTTCATTATTGAAAGTAATAGGGTACAGATCGTATACTTAAGGAAAGATAAGCAAGCAAAAACCTGTAAATAGTATAATATCTGCTGGACATTACGCAGATCTATTTTGGCCATATGTCCTATCGTGTATCCATCAAAATTAATTACTACTTCAAGACCTGGCCAGGTTCCAGTCTCGTACTGCAAGACGTCGATACTCATTAAAAACGCTCTGGAACAAAGTTGTAAGTTATTGGTCTCCAAACGCAAATTAATTCTTTAAAGACAGTAATAATAATAGTAATAATTTATTAGCAAGAATATGGTACAATGTAAAGTTCGCAAATTCTGCCACACATAATGGCGTGCAAATTTGTCTTAATAGGTAGAATAAAAAAAATTACAATATTTTTTTTTTTTTTTTAAGAAATGAATGTGAATTTGTATTTTGTGAATAAAGTACCATAATAACACTTACTTGATATTATGTGCAACATCAAATTCATTTGGATCACCGTTTACACAGTGGCAATACATAACCACGCTACCATCTTTTGTTCGCTCGGGCAGAGCAACAAATAATCTTAAAAAGACAAAAATAAACACCTCTTGAGCTTATGTCGTGGTCGTAAAACTTAAAATTAGATGAAATTACCCAAAATGTGTCCCGAGCCCTTACCCTGTAAATTCCAAAAGCGATAACGACAGCTATCAGCTATATTGTGCCACGCGATTCCAAGGTTGCCGACATCAGAGATGTCCGGAAGTTATAGAGTAACGGCTCTGGGGCTTGTGACAATCTCTAACTAATTTGTATGAAAATGGTCACGAGATAAAGCGTGATGTCAGTACCATACATCCTTTAGCGTTATTGATTTTGTCTCAAGGCCCTGCCTTGCGATTCTGTAACTCACTTTTCGAACTCTCTGACTGACTGCTTCACGACTGATTTGAGCGCGACCGCCGCTGTGAAAACCGCTGTGTGAGTTCGAAAAGTGAGTTACAGAATCGCAAGGCTGGTCTCCGAAACGAGAAACTTTGACCGCTCCCTGTACATCGTAACAGAAAACCGTAAACCCTAAAATTAATGACTGGCTGACAATTACTATATCATTATAGATATCTTTAATCTAAATATGGCCTCTAATATTCCATATTGTATAAAAAAATAATTAAATCAGAGGCGCCCTTTTAGGTCTGGGCTGTTTCTGTTTCTTAGGTAGTCATTTGTTTGCCTGAGGTGAAGTTTTAGTTACGATATAGGTACAAGAAAGTAGAGCACTGTTGGAACACTGAGTGCGACTGTGAGGTCCCTGAGGTCGTAGGTTCGAACCCCGGTTGTGCACTAATGGTCTTTCTGTCTATACGCATTTAACGTTCGCTCGAACAGTGAAGGAAAACATCGTGAGGAAACCGTCTTGCCTTAGACCCAAAAAGTCGACGGAGGCTGATCAACTTCCTATTAGATTGACAAATGATCATGAAACAGATACAGAAATCAGATAAAAAGGTTGTAGCGCCACTGATTTATTAATTTTTAAACAAGAAAATAGGGCAAATGAGCAGGCGGGTATGAGATGAGAGGTCTTAACTATGACGTAAAGATGTGGCGAACATAAACATCATCATGCTCTCTTAAGTAAACATAAAAAAACTCATACGTGTTCCTAAATGTCCTTTTAATTGTAGTTTCAAAAGATCTTTCTTGAAAATAAGCTGTGAAGATGGTCCTTAGCGAATAGTTGAGATCCATAAGCTGCTTCGCCACCTCGATACTTCTGTTACAACTGTGGTATGCTAATATTATGTCCAGGTCTATGAAAGAAAATGATTTAATATCATAATGCACCTGCTCAACTGTTTTAACTGTAACTTATTTTTCTAGGTTGATGTTTTTGGGCTTCAACCTGTAAAAGATTATATACTTCTGTGAATTATTGTGCCAAAACAAGACACACACACACATACAGCTCTATTTAAGGAATCTAGTTGACTATTTTTTTGGAAATTCTTACTACTATATATGTACTTATTTTTGTTATGACTCAGTAGGAATTTGTAGGGGAATAGCCAAAGCTGGATATCCATATCACAGGTTCTTACTGCTGAACTAGTCTCCAATACTTCTTAATTGTAATCATGAAAAACTTTTTGTTTCAAATGTTATATTACTGAGAGTAAATAAAGAATTTTTATTATTACACATATATTTCTAATAGTTATCGTATCTAAGACCGCAGTTATGCTTGAAAGGACACGTTTGATGATAAAGCCGTTTATAAGTGGATTGCTAACGTTTTTGTTAATGAAATAAATTTATAATAATACTAGCAGAACTCCCAAAGCTTTGCTGTGTCAAGGTGTTAGATATGTTACATTCCTGTAAGCTAGTCACAGGACACGTAGATAGAACACTATTTATGGGGACCACCATGCTTTTTGGTGGTAATGCCTTTAAATTTTGTGACTTATGTGAAACGTTGGTGGAATTTCAACACAGCGCCATCCATTAGGATTCTTACTATCTAAATAGTAATAAATTATAATATACGTGTATATCATGACAATGTTTTGCAATAAAATAATATTGCGGCTATAAATTAAGATGTTAGCTATTCTTATTCATAAGTTCGACAAACCTGCACACGGTTATAGCTGAAAGGAGTTTGACTGAAATGCGGTTTGGTAAGTTTAGGATTCCATAGCGGACAAACAACGTAACACCTAATTTATATATATTTTAGATTAATAATCCAGTGGTCTACAAGCTACTATTTACGACCTATATATTGCTAAATTGAATCAGTGCAGTATAAGTTTAACCTGTAATATGTTTTTACGGCAAATGGGACCGGGTTTTCAACCACTGACCTCTTACCTTTTCCACATCTTGGGACGACACAATTCCCTTTTCATACGCCTCCTGAATTGGGAATTCCTTAAGTCCCATATTTATTCTAAAAAATCAATATTTTTGCGTTGTTATACTTCTGTGGTTATTAAAATACCTAAATCACTAAAATGCCAACAACACTTATCACCAAACTCGAGAGACTGCACTACTTAAATAATCAATAATGTTACAATGTAAAAAGATACAATAGCGGACACGAATTAATTCAATTTAAACATTACTAAGTTTCGGAAATGGGGTGGTATTAACCATTAATTGAAATATCAAAAGGGACTACGTATTCCCTATATAGAGAAATCGTGAATTATGTTAGATAACAATGTTTTTCCACGTAACAATTAATTTATATTCTGTGGTTATTGAAAATACCTAAATAGCTAAAAGCCAACAACACTTATCACCAAACTCGAGACACTGCACTTTTCGTAAATCATCAATAATTTACAATGTAAGATTCAATAGCGGACATCGGCGGTCGCTCATTCAAATCAAACATTACAACAGTAACGAATTTATGCATTTGGCATTCAAATAATCAATAAACTACAAGCTCCCACCTTTTAAGAATGCCAATTATCTAGATAAAATGACTGTTTCCACTGATTTAAGAGCGACCGTCGAATGTCAATTCGCTGTTTATTTTAAAAGAAACCAAAACGCCAGGTATGCGGAAAGCGACCCGGGCGACCGCGACAGCCAACTAATATAATTCGTATTTGCTACACTTCAACAAAATTATAGTGGATTTTTTTTCATACAAGATTAGTGTCGAACTATCGTAACATGCTGTCAACAAAAATATAATATATCACAGCCTCAAACCGATCGGTTCTCTTACCGCACTCTACACTTTGTTGAGATACTAAAATATTATTGTAGAGACTGTAGAATTTAAAATGTTTTCAACGCTACCAATATTGCGTAAAATGTAATGACATAAAATTGCCAAATTCGTTTATAATCTACCCATTTCAAGGACACACCGCTGTACCAAAATGTTTGTACGGTGGTGTATTATTATCAGTCACCTTCTTAGATACCGATTACGATGCATTTACGTCAACAAAATGGACGATTATACGAGATCTACAAATTTAAATTAAACTTTTTTAACAAAACTCCAAATTTATTACATTGTCCAAACTCGATGGCAACTCTTAGCAGAAGAATTTCCATTTAACATATAATTGTGTATGTAAATACAAATACTGAAATAATACGTTTTTATACCACATAAATCCACGTTTTCGTCGTTGGATGACGTCTAGGTTTAAGTAATGAAGAGCAGCGACTAGCGAGGCTGCTGACATGGTCCAAACCACTTAGTCAGGCCCTGCCGTCTTCTCCATTCCAAAACTCAATATTAAATACATTTTACTATCAAATATCAAATTAACAATTAATTATTTTCTTCCGTTCTACGCCCTTTGAGAACTTGCAGTAAATGTAAAATTAGAAGCATTTAATGTATATTTATTTTTTGACGTTCATAAGTGTACATTGTGTTACCTATATGAATAAATGTTTTTGACTTTTTTTGCTGTCGTGCGTTGTAGCGCCTATAACAAGTGGTGCTCTTTCAGGGTTTCTCTCATCTGCTAGCAGTCTGTTAGGTTAGGTTAGTTAGGTCCTTAGATTTTATTCTAAAAAACTAAGAACATTGATTTAACAAATGCGAGAAATACCTTTCGAATTGCCATCAGCCTTTGCTTAGAAGTGCCCGTATGTACTCTCCATAAGTGGCATGGAAGTAGAGCCACGCTCAACGAGATCATACAGCACTCTTTTGCCTCTGTCAATATTCTAGCAATTTTGAAGATAACAGCCGTCGCTAGGGACGATGGCATACGGACGGATGGGATGTCTTTGGTATGAAATCCTACTTATGTGGGCACTATAGGCCCGTCTTACGTCCTTTGAACAAGCCCAAAAGCTGGCGCGGCAGCGGAGTAGGCTAAAAATATAAGTCTTTCCTCTAACGTTGATTTTGTTCCCTTTGGAGTAGAGACTCTTGGGTTGCGAGGTTCAAGTGCACATGCGCTAATTAAATATTTAAGTTGGCTGGTTGATAGTACCGATGATCCCAGAGCTGTTGCATTCTTCGTAACAAATAAGTATCTCAATACAGCGGAGAAATGCTACCGGCATTAAAATAACTGCCACAGGGACCAAGCTTATTAAATTTGTTTTAGTTTTCTATTTATTAGTGTTTAATTATTTTTATTACTACTATGTTGTTGTTAAGAATATAGTAAATACTCTTAACCTACATAGTAATCATAATAATATATTTGTGTGTTAATAAATATATTATAAACCTTTAAAAAAGTAAAAATTAATTGACATAAGTAATAACATATTTTAATAATATAATTAATTGATAATGGTAATTAAGATAATTTTCTGATAGTTACAATGTATTTGACCTTCTTACATAATACATATATACTATACAAGACATATTATTTTAATTCAAACACACTCACACCGCACTCTTAACTAAAGTACTGTTTTGTCTCTTTGTATGACCACTGAGTTTCGGATGAGATGGAAAGAGATAGATGGGTTTTTTTTAGTTAAACTGTGCAATTTTAAGACTAGATTTGACAAAAGGCCATTATGTATTTCAGGCCCTTCATGGAATGGGTCGGATTTTTGGAGGAGGACCAGGCCACCAGAAATGGAATAGCGGGAAAGAATTGGAAAATGGTGGCGAGGAAGACAAGTGGGGGAAAAATTTGTAAGAGGCCTTCACTCCGTCGGAGGTCTAGTAATGTCAAAAGTCAAAATCATGTATTCATATAGGTAATACAATGTACACTTATGAACGTCAAAAAGAAATATACATTAAATGCTTCTAATTTTACATTTACTGCCAGTTCTCAAACAAGGTCTACGCGGAAGAGAAGAACTGGCAATAAACTCTCCGCCACTCTTTTTAATCGCCAAGTTTTTTGTTCTACACAACATTTTTAAGGAGCTGCAACCATTACACTATATTCTACATGACATCTTAAGTAATAAAATAAATTAAAAAACATATATTTGTCCCCTATCAGCAGGAGGCATGGTGAAACAGGAGCACGCACTTACATTCTCCTGGGAACAACACGCAAATAGATAGTCCATGTTAAACATAATGACTTAATGTCTAATGTAGTAATCGAATAAAGATTATTTTAATTTTATTTATATTTAATTTGGTTTAGGTTGTTCTGGTAGCTACTATTATTATTATGATAGGGCCAATCCTACGGGACGCCCAAGAAGCAGATCACAGATACTTGTTTTAGTAGGTGCGTTGCCGGCCTTTGTGAAAGGAGTATACTATTTCTTTAATCAATTGAAGGTCATATCTGCCAGGGAAAACCCCCACCGGGACTCGATTCCAAGTTCGCTAGTTCGGAAAGGAAATGTCTAATAGGTTTCTAAGTTCATTTTTAATAATAAATAACCGAAAATTACATAAATACTTTATTTAATAATTATTTTGTGATCAGATGTTTAAACATATAGTGTGTGTAAATAGTATTCACATATGTAGAGTTGGTATTCACGTTTGTTAAGCGCATATAAAATTTCAGCTCGCAAATGAAAATTATCAGTAGTATAAGATGGTTTTATGAAATCTGGATCAAATGGAATCCCTAAGGTAGATGTTTGGGAAGTAACTAGACAGAACGTAACGTATGACGACTCATTGGTCTAGTGGTTAGTACCCCTGACTGCGAATCCATGGGTCCCGGGTTCGATCCCCGGCTGAGACGAACATCGATGTGATGAGCATTTGGTGTTGTGCTTAGGTCTTGGGTGTTTAAATATGTATTTATATGTCTATATCTATAATATGTATGTATATCCGTTGCCTAGTACCCATAACACAAGCTTCACCAGCTTAGCATGGGACTAGTTCAATTGGTGTTAATTGTCTTTATAAAAAAAAAAAAAAAGTAAGCTGGTGTATTGTGTATTTACTTTGACACAAATCAAATCCCCAGCTGATGAAAGATTACGAACTAAGTTTCTATTTTCATACAAGATATATACGATTAATATTACCTAATACATTAAAAGCTATATTTTAGTTTTGCCTGGAATTAATTCTGACTAATGTAACAATTAGACATTGATGCAATAACTACTTAGATTAAATCTTTGTGTTGTTTAAATAAAATGCCGCTGTCCATTAAAATCGTTTTTATATCTGATTTTACAATGCTACTACACACATACATGTGTTAAATTGTAAACATGAATTGGGAAGAAAGCGCTGTTCCTGAAAGGCTCTTTGACCAGTCAAACCACTGACTGAAAACCACAAAGGTGTATACAAGTATTAAGTATTTCTGGAGGAAGTTTTGCTGGTCTTCCCCATACTTTAATGAAGGAGCCACCACCAGTCCAGTCACAGACTGGGGTCTGGGGAACCCGAGCCTATTAAAATTTCATTGTACCTACTTAATAAATTGAAAATAATTGTTTTTATATTATTATCGAATTGATGTTGGTTTAAATCAGAGTTAGCGTAGACCCTTGCCATGTTTTTCCGTGTTGGGAAAACCCCTACTTACCTGATTTTGAATTCTATAAATCTAACTGTAGTGGAGTTTAGTGGTACAAACTTAAATAAAAACACATATGTAATACTTTAATTGATTTAGAAAAACTACTGATAACTTTTTTGTCTGAATGTAGAAAGTTTTCTAAATAATTTTACTTTTTTTTTGATATTATAAGATATACTCTCTACACCTCGTCCCATTCAAAGGAACCACTGAGAAAAGCAGTGGGCCCATTCTTCCTTAGGGGTCTCTTCTATGGCATTTTCGTACGCTTTCACCTTTCCTCTTCTCTCTTCTTCATCTTCAGGGCTCGTAAAGCGAATACCTCGAATCTTATCTTTAGTTCTTGGGAATTAATGAAAGTCGCAGGGTGCCAGGTCAGGACTGCATGGCGGATGACTCATTACCGCTACACCTGTCATAGTCAAATATTCAACAGTCCGTTTTGCGGAGTGCGCTGAAGCATTGTCGTAGTGAAGGAGGATCCTGCTTCGAGGGCGCTGCTGTTGAATTTTTTCCAAGACAACAGGCAAACAGCGATTGACATACCAGTCTGCAGTAACTGTCCTTCTAGCACATATCTTCTAGCACAACTGTCGCGAAATTACCTTTCCGACCAAAGAATGAGGCTACGTCAACGCTCAAACTCGTTAAACCAATTGTAAATAATGACACAAGATGGGGCTTCATTAAGAAATGCTAATCGCAGCCTATCATAGCTTTGTTGTTGTGTAAGCCCACAACGAAAGTCATAATAAATCATTGACCGAAAATGTTCTCGCGTTACGTTCATTTTCATGTGTAACAAGAGTTTTAGATTTGCCGCCAATTCACAAAAACAAATGACAAATGAATGCAATATACTACATTAGGTTACCAAAGAGTTCTAATAATAGAAATTAAAAAAAGTTTTCATGAGCAATGTTTCTAACTGGCCAGTTCTAAACATTTTCAGTGTTACCCACGTACCTATATCCATACTAATACTACTAAAATGAAAGATTTAAGTTCCTCTCAGGAATAAACTTAAACCATACTAAAAACGATTATCAATGACCTTACACCATAAGATTGCTCCATTTTTCTTAAGTGTGATCAGGTGTTTAAACATATAGTATTTACATATATACAGTAATTATGTCAGGTAATCGTGACTAGCTTCTAGTTGTTTGTAAATCAATAAATAATTCTGCTTTCAGCGAGGAAAATTAGTCCCGGGATTGTTGATAATAGTCCAAGAATGATGAAGGGAAATACAAATGTGTAGCACCATGTCCGATTAGGTACACATCATTAAAGTACAAAGCAAATATAATTATACTTCATATCGTCAAATTTCATTCTTGGTCAAAGTTAATTTCTGTGTGGAGTAGGTATGACATCATTTTTATTTACCATAAAAGACAATAATTACATATTTCAACTGCAATTTCCCCGTACTAGACTATCTAAAGTTATTATTTTTTGGGAAAAGGGATACTCTTTAATAAAATCCCAGAGGCTCTTTTATCTCTGCCTTTTAATAAATTTAAGAAATGTATTAAAGAAAAGCTGTGTAAAAACGCTTACTATAAAGTTAACGATTATCTAGTTGATAAAAGGGCTTGGGACTAGTGCTAGACAATTTGCGATATTTGTTTTAAAATAAGTGTTGTTCGATGATTTGCTATTTTATAAGAGTACCGACTACCCAGAGTTTTTTACGCCGGCTTTTTCTCTCGGCCTACACCCTCTGTCTTCTTTACCGATGAGTAGGGATGCCTACAAATTTAATGACGTGGAATAAGTGATACATGTATCTTATGTTCCATAATAAACATATTTTATTTTATTTTTATTTACATATTCGTAAATATATTCAAATTTAATCAATTTTATGTACTAAAGTCAGTCGTCTAAGTATAACACGTAAGCAGATTTATAGCAATTTATCCCCCCCACTCTCCTCCTCCTCTTGTCAACAAAAGTAAGTAAGTAGTAAAGTATTAATTTAAAATACATTTCGTTTTCACGCATTGACAATGAGTGGGTAATATGTGTAAAAAATTTAATAAATACTGTTGACGTAATCACCAAATAAGAAAATCCAAATCCTAAATAATGCTTACGTTATACTTGAACGGCCCTAGAAGATATATATATATATATATATATATATATATATATATATATATATATATATATCTAATTAGTATCCCGTAGCCCAAAATTGGATTAAGACACATTTCATGCACGCGTATTGTAAACAGTTCAAAAAAATTGTAATTGAAAAAAAAATTATAAAGCCGTGGCGTACGTATTACCTGGGGCCCGTGGCAAATTCTTTTGATGGGGCCCTATCAGTAAAAATCGTCACGTTGTACTCAGTTTAATTTTAATAAACTTCGAGATTTTCAGCGTATTCACACACATTGTATATGTCCCACTAATGGCCATAGGCCTCCTCTCTTAGGCGAGAGGGAATGGTCTGTAGTCCCCACGCTAGCCCAATGCGTATTGGAGACTTCACATTCATCCATAGAACATAATTTCTCTTGGGCATAGGCCCTCTTGGGTCGGGGGCCCGTGGCATTTTGCCAGCCCTGCACCCTATTGTTTCGCCACTGTGTGTTAGTCTGTTTACTGATATTATTTGTGCATCTTCCTATCGGTATAGAATTAATATACATCGTAAGACAGGGCTGGTCTATTAAGAAGCCCACGTAACACATCATACATTTTATCATGTTCTTTCTTCTTCAGGACAAACATGCCCTCTGAAATTAAAAAAACTCTGATATCCATGTTACTGTTTTCACGATGGCTCGGACTGTCCCCAGTGAAATGGGAGTCGCTGCAGCTTCGTGTATCTAAGGGTTTTGGTATTTATGGAGCCCTGCTGTTCTGCATTATAGGTGCTTGTTTTTTTTTTTTTTTTTATATAATAGTGCAAACGAGCCTGCGGGGCGACCAAAATGGGCAGTCATCGCAGCCCATAGACACACACATTTTTAGCGGGTGCGTTGCTGGCCTTTGAGGTAGAAGTACACTCGATTTTTTGTTTTTGCTTTATAACTGATATATATTATAAACTTGTATAAAAATCAAAATTTATCGTGGTTAGGTTAGGTTAGGTTATGAGTATTAAATATTAGCATATAAACTCCATTTATTGCCGCGAAGTTAGTACTATTCCGCTCGATTAACAAAATTAAGAAAGAAATCATGGAATAATTTCGCGTAAATGTCCGTATAGTTTCATATATATACGCATGATGCAAAGTGAATATTGTCATATTATAAATGTCAGATGCAAATGCAATGTAAACTAAAATTTTAGTTTCTTAAAAGTTATTAAGCAAATATAACTAAATCCATAAATTTGCCTCTAAAGACCTATTCAGATCATTACCAGCAAATAAATCTAATCTAATTAAGTTGACGTAGAACATCGGATATGAAATTACTCATAAAGTTTTGAAATAAACATTTATCTCCAATACGTAATTTTTCAATATCTTCTTAATCTATATATGTATATAAAAACTAGCTGACCCGGCAGACTTCGTACTGCCTCAATCGATAAATAACAGACCAAAAGACGAACAGCAATTCATTTTTATATATATATATAGATGAATTGCTGTTCGTTAGTCTCACTAAAACTCGAGAACGGCTGAACGGATTTATCTTATCTTAGTCTTGAAATGTTCGTGGAGGTCTAGGGATGGTTTAAAAGGCGAGAAAAAATCGAATAATTACCGGGAAAACCCTAAAAACAGCTCTTTTCTATTTCCCATACAAACGTTTTCTAGAGTCAATTTGAACTTTATTGCTATTCAATAAAGTACATATTCAATTATAATCACTCACTGTTGTCTAAGCGTGTAGGTGTGTTCCTAACGTCAAAGAGTCAATTTGCAATTTACTTCCGCTGCATAAAGTTCAAATTCAATCATATCTATGAAAATAGTCTTCACGTGCGCTTTGGAGCGTGCGTTCCGAAAATAAACAAAAGGGAATCACGAACGCGACAAAAAATGTAATAAACGATTAGTAGTACTGATTTCCAATTAATTTGGTCGGCTTCGCGAAACTTAATTTTAGCTAACTTCAGTTGTAACTGTATCTCCTCCTAAACTACCCAACCGATATCAATCAAATTTGCACACCGTCCAGTTTGATCTAACTTAAAAGATAGGATAGCTTACATCTCAATTTCTACCCGCAATATTTTATTGCAAATATTTGTTTATCATTTGAAAGTCACAATTATAACAGATGGCGCTGTGTTAAAAGTACCAACGTTTCACATAAGCTATCTACCTTTCACATAAGTTCTCCTACCACTTCCCTTGAATAGTTTACTACTATGAAATATAACAAAAACCATAGCCACAGCAACGCTTGGCCGAGTCTGCTAGTTATTTATATATTATAATAATAGACATTTTAACTTAATTTCCAGCGACGCTAATGACAAGAGAGGCGTTTACTCTTATTCTTGCTTGGATTCAAAATGAGGATATAGACGTTGAGGACTTTAGTTCTGAACTGGTGTTCAAGGAACTCATTCTCTTTGGGTATTTGGTGCTCAAGGGTCCACAACGTATGGCAATCATGATTGAAGTTCTTGATCAGCTTGAAAAGGTACAGGATTACTTTCATTTTAGTTTTCTGTTAATTTCTTATACATACAGAATCGAGTATGATTTCCACATGTCATAATCGGGATAAATTCCATCCACTTTAATAAATAAATTTAACTCTTCATTGCCCATCCGATTACAGGAAATGCATTCTGTTATCACTTTCTTAGCTTCTTTCTCTCTGCTTTATACCTCAAGGAATTTTGTAATATAATGTACACCGTCCGCACGTTTTGTCGAGGCCACACATCTTTATATATTACTAGCTGATCCGGCAAACGTCGTTTTGCCATGTATATCATTTATAATAAAAAATAGGGGTTGATCGTAGAGGGGTGAAAATTAGGGGTTGTATGTATTTTTTAATGATGTATCATAAAAAAATAAAGAATAAAAAATTTATCTAAAATTAAATTAAAAAAAATTTAGGGGTTTACTACCCTTAACATTTAGGGGGATGCAAAATAGATGTTGTCCGATTCTCAGACATACACAATAAGCACACAAAATTTCATGAGAATCGGTCTAGCCGTTTCGGAGGAGTATGGCAACGAAAACTGTGACACGAGAATTTTATATATTAGATAATTCCACTGAACTCCTCTTAAACGGCTGGACCGCTTTGAATGAATTTTTTGTATGCGTTTGGGTGGCGCCATGGATGGTTTAGATTCAGAAGTCAGCCTGGCAGATGGCGCTGTATTCGGTTCTAGGTTTTTTATCTATACAGCAAATAAACAGCTGGTACATATATAAATCTACTGTTTTTGTGCTTGTCTTCGTAATTAAACTCCTTAACGGCTGGACAGATTTTGATGAAATTATTTGTGTGTTCAAGTAGAGTCGAAAATGTTTTTAGATATTTTTTTGTAGGTATGTTAGACGTGACTCCGCTAGTTGGTTATAAAATGTATAGCTTGTTTCTTTCTTATATCCTGATATTATTATATAGCTTTGTTGGCGCGGTTATTAATTAATAAATAAATAAATTACAGATAAAGGAAAAAAGATTCAGATGTACATTGGAGAAAAAGGAGAAGAAGAAATTTTACTATTTTATTGTTTCTCTCACGATATTTCTGGTTATCGTATACATCAACAAATACATTTTCGAAGTATATGATGAAGAGCAACCTATATTAGGTAAAGGTACTAAATTTTTGACTTCATAGTGTAATTATACGGTTTTACAAATTTGCTCAGTAAATCCTTAAAGGCGTTTTAAACTAGTGTTGTCTTTTATTAACATAACTTTTACACATTTAAAGAAAACGCTTTTTTACCGGAGTGAAGTTATTATTATAAACTTATAATTAGTCACCGTGACCACGCACGCTATAAAAAAATCGGTTGTCTGTAAAGTCGGTTTACTGACGATAGTTGAACGTGACAACGTCATAATAGTACGGGAGGTAGCAACGTTTTCGAGAAAGAATTTCAGGTCAGCTGATTTTGTGATATGTCTTCCTTCTTGCACTTCCGGTTAGAGTCTGGGCAATCTGGCTGGCGGTAGCGGTTGCGTTCATTAGTGCGCATCCTATCTGTCCAGGTAATAATCCTGGATTTTAAAAGCATTTTAAGAAGCGTAATTTTTAATTTTTCGTTTTTAAATACGTCTACCTGACATACTTTTTTTATTGCCAGACATTTTTCACGTTGCTAACTATGTGCCAGACGCGATTTTAAGTTTTATTTTTATAAAAATTTCAAAGCATTTTTAGAATGTCTGTAATTTTAATATTATGTTATTTAAATATAAGAAAAACTGAAAATGAATTTGCCAGACATTAATTCGGTTGTTAAGTCTTGAATTAAAATGATAAAGTATTGCAGTATGATGAAGCATTGCATTTTAAGAAGCGTAATTTTTGATTTTTCCTTTTTAAATACGTCTACCTGACATACTTTTTTATTGCCAGACATTTTTCACGTTGCTAACTATGTGCCAGACGCGATTTTAAGTTTTATTTTTATAAAAATTTCAAAGCATTTTAGAATGTCTGTAATTTTAATATTATGTTATTTAAATATAAGAAAAACTGAAAATGAATTTGCCAGACATTAATTCGGTTGTTAAGTCTTGAATTAAAATGATAAAGTATTGCAGTATGATGAAGCATTGCATTTTAAGAAGCGTAATTTTGATTTTTCCTTTTTAAATACGTCTACCTGACATACTTTTTTATTGCCAGACATTTTTCACGTTGCTAACTATGTGCCAGACGCGATTTTAAGTTTTATTTTTATAAAAATTTCAAAGCATTTTAGAATGTCTGTAATTTTAATATTATGTTATTTAAATATAAGAAAAACTGAAAATGAATTTGCCAGACATTAATTCGATTGTTAAGCCTTGAATTAAAATGATAAAGTATTGCAGTATAATGCTTGTAGTACGAGCATAAAAGGTATATAAAATTAGATTAAAATTAATAATCAACACTTTATTTAAATTGTCCTAATTACTAAATGTAAGTTATGAATAATTAATATTAAGTTTTTCAAGTTGTTTTAGCCTATAGTGACGTCACAAACAAGAGGCATCTTCATAATCATCATCATCATCGTCGCTGTCTTTGTCGGTGTCATTCATATCATCTTCTTAGGAACTTTTCGTTATCTTCTAAAAACTCTATCATCTGCAACAGAAAAAAAAAAAAACAGTGTAATTTTTCTTGTTCGTTATTAAACATTTTAGTTATTATTGATAAATGTTCCATTTAACACTTACTTTACTTAACAATAATCTGCAACTGAGGATGGTAATTGATAGAGTTTTAGAAGATAACGAAAGTTCCCAAAGAAGATGATATGAATGACACCGACAAAGACAGCGACGATGATGATGATGATTATGAAGATGCCTCTTGTTTGTGACGTCACTATAGGCTAAAACAACTTGAAAAAACTTAATATTAATTATTCATAACTTACATTTAGTAATTAGGACAATTTAAATAAAGTGTTGATTGTTAATTTTAATCTAATTTTATATACCTTTTATGCTCGTACTAAAGCATTATACTGCAATACTTTATCATTTTAATTCAAGGCTTAACAATCGAATTAATGTCTGGCAAATTCATTTTCAGTTTTTCTTATATTTAAATAACATAATATTAAAATTACAGACATTCTAAAATGCTTTGAAATTTTTATAAAAATAAAACTTAAAATCGCGCTGGCACATAGTAGCAACGTGAAAAATGTCTGGCAATAAAAAAGTATGTCAGGTAGACGTATTTTAAAAAGGAAAAATCAAAAATTACGCTTCTTAAAATGAATGCTTCATCATACTGCAATACTTTATCATTTTAATTCATGACTTAACAACCGATTAATTTGGAAATTCATTTTCAGTTTTAATTATATTTAAATAACATAATATTAAAATTACAGACATTCTAAAATGCTTTGAAATTTTTATAAAAATAAAACTTAAAATCGCGTCTGGCACATAGTTAGCAACGTGAAAAATGTCTGGCAATAAAAAAAAGTATGTCAGGTAGACGTATTTAAAAAGGAAAAATCAAAAATTACGCTTCTTAAAATGCAATGCTTCATCATACTGCAATACTTTATCATTTTAATTCAAGACTTAACAACCGAATTAATGTCTGGCAAATTCATTTTCAGTTTTTCTTATATTTAAATAACATAATATTAAAATTACAGACATTCTAAAATGCTTTGAAATTTTTATAAAAATAAAACTTAAAATCGCGTCTGGCACATAGTTAGCAACGTGAAAAATGTCTGGCAATAAAAAAGTATGTCAGGTAGACGTATTTAAAAAGGAAAAATCAAAAATTACGCTTCTTAAAATGCAATGCTTCATCATACTGCAATACTTTATCATTTTAATTCAAGACTTAACAACCGAATTAATGTCTGGCAAATTCATTTTCAGTTTTAATTATATTTAAATAACATAATATTAAAATTACAGACATTCTAAAATGCTTTGAAATTTTTATAAAAATAAAACTTAAAATCGCGTCTGGCACATAGTTAGCAACGTGAAAAATGTCTGGCAATAAAAAAAGTATGTCAGGTAGACGTATTTAAAAGGAAAAATCAAAAATTACGCTTCTTAAAATGCAATGCTTCATCATACTGCAATACTTTATCATTTTAATTCAAGACTTAACAACCGAATTAATGTCTGGCAAATTCATTTTCAGTTTTTCTTATATTTAAATAACATAATATTAAAATTACAGACATTCTAAAATGCTTTGAAATTTTTATAAAAATAAAACTTAAAATCGCGTCTGGCACATAGTTAGCAACGTGAAAAATGTCTGGCAATAAAAAAAGTATGTCAGGTAGACGTATTTAAAAGGAAAAATCAAAAATTACGCTTCTTAAAATGCAATGCTTCATCATACTGCAATACTTTATCATTTTAATTCAAGACTTAACAACCGAATTAATGTCTGGCAAATTCATTTTCAGTTTTTCTTATATTTAAATAACATAATATTAAAATTACAGACATTCTAAAATGCTTTGAAATTTTTATAAAAATTAAAATTAAAATCGCGTCTGGCACATAGTTAGCAACGTGAAAAATGTCTGGCAATAAAAAAGTATGTCAGGTAGACGTATTTAAAAACGAAAAATTAAAAATTACGCTTCTTAAAATGCTTTTAAAATCCAGGATTATTACCTGGACAGATAGGATGCGCACTAATGAACGCAACCGCTACCGCCAGCCAGATTGCCCAGACTCTAACCGGAAGTGCAAGAAGGAAGACATATCACAAAATCAGCTGACCTAAAATTCTTTTTTTTCAAACGTTGCTACCTCCCGTACTATAAGAAAATACTGATGGAATGGTTGCATTTTTTTCAAAAGAAAATTTTAATTTTATTTGTTTGATAGATATTTTGTATGGATATAGAGAAGGAGGTAAATGGAAATCACAATTGAATTGATCAAGTTACATTTATTTGTACGCATAAATACAATTATGTCAATTTTTGTGTGCAAGCGAGAGCGCGGAACGAGTGCTCTCGCTTGCACTTCAAGCCTTAAATGGAACGCCTCAGAGGTAACGCCGCATGAGTCATGTTTTTTCGTGCGTGCAGCCGGCTCCATCGAATTATAAGACGTTGTCACGTCATAAAAATATTAATTATGTTATGTGTTATGTTTTGTCAATAGGAGACATATAATACAGATACCGGCAAACTTCTTGAGCATTAAACAAGGGAGTGGCGGAAAGTTTGCGCATCATACACAAACGAGGGACACAAACGTCAACTGATTTACCAATGACGCGATCGACACGTCACTCTCCCGCCGCCGCGAACCACCACACGCCGCCCCAGTCATACCTAAAAATCGCTTTTGCGCAGGCAAGGACATTTGTTCAAGATATTTGCCGGTATCTGTATTAAAAAACGTTAGAGAAGATTTTCATATTTTTGCTTGTTTGAAGAGAACCTTCAAAAGTAACATCTACAAATTTTAATACGATGTACATGTGAGCTGTAGCAAGAACTTCAATATATCTAAAAATATTTTCAGATAATGTTAAATCGTTCATGTTGACGTTTTTCATTCGATATGCGTGTGCCATATCGGAATTTTATTTTGTTCTCCTGGCTCTTCTGATACACACTCTTCTCGCCAGCATCAATGACGATTTAGAGGAAATTTTTAAAGGTAAGGACACAAGGTACCTACATTTTCTTTTCTTTTTCTACAAGATAAGTTTGGTGGTGGACATGTCATATAGTAATATTTGTGTTCATTATTATTCTAAAAGTTGAGCAGTGTTGGCCTAGTGGCTTCAGCGTGCGACTCTCATACCTGAGGTCGTAGGTTCGAGCCCCGGCAGTGCACCAATGGATTTTCTATGCGCGCATTTAACATTCGCTCGAACGGTGAACGAAAACATCGTGAGGAAACGGCTTGCCTTAGACCCAAAAAGTCGACGGCGTGCGTCAGGCACAGAAGGCTGATCACCTACTTGCCTATTAAAACAAATGATCATGAAACAGATACAGAAATCTGAGGCCTAGACCTATAAAGTATTGTTCTAAAAATACTACGCATGAAGTACTTAATGAAAGAAGTATTATAGACTTAGTATCTCATTAAGAAAAGCGACAAAAATACTTTGACATTTTTTTAATAAAATTCCCTTCTAATTTTTGTTTGAGAAAATAGGTGATTAACCTTTCATACTCGTGAACTCAGAATCTAGATTAAACACGAACATTTCTGAATCTTATCCTAAATTTCCTCGTTTGCCATTTATTTTGAGCACAATTAAAAATCAATAGACGTAGACTGTAGAGTCACTCACTGAACCGCAAGTTTCAATAACCAACTCATATTACAGATAATGTACCACCTTCTAACGTAATTTTGTATAAGGAACCAGTATCTGTCCTTGGGAACCGTGATATTAGCCCAACTATCGACTGCTTTGGCCTGACACCTGCTGGCACTTTTGGTAAGAAGAGTCTTAATAATGTTTTTTAGAAAAGATAGTCCGGGCAAGAGTTCTTTTGAAGTGAAACTTCTTTAGGCGCATGAGGGTAAAATTTTTCGGAAACGCAATCATAATGATATTAGCGTCACGAAGATGTGCAGCGTTTTTGTCGAAGAAAAGGGAGAGAGCGATTAAGACCAATTGATAGAGAGTGAGAAGGGTGAATTAATTTAATGAAATTCTATTTTTAAAATTAAAATTTCGTAAAGAGAATTATGAAAAATAATTTATTGATATCTCAAATGACGAATTGTAAATTAAAATGCCACGTGTTAAATAAATTAAATTAATAATTTGTATTAATTTTCGACACTTTTAATGACAATTAAATACATTAAATTCCTCACATATCTTCCTTTTTCCCTCCCTCTAAGTCTCGAAAATCTTAATATTTAGATTCGTATAAATATACAAGAGTTAAAAATTAGTTTGCCAAAGAAGTTTCACTTCTGACATGTGTCTTTGTACGCACGCACTTTTTTATTTATTTATTGTATATCGTATGTAGGTACATAATTTCTTGTACACTTCTGTGGACACAGTTTCTTTGTCCACCAGTACGTCGAACAGATTTAAAACTTATATACTAAGACTAATTTATTTATTTACAAGTAATTACAGCAGTACTTACAGCTAACATAGATATTATAAAACAAAACACTTAGACAATACAGAAAGCCAAAACAGATTACATAGATACACAATATATACGAAACAGAAAACAAATAAGTACATTAATAGACAAAACTATATAAAGAAAACTGAAATTTAACATTTAAAACAACAAATAATACTTAATATTTCCAACTACTGCTTAAACAAAATCAGAGTCTTCCCGCCTCTTCAAATACTTTCTCACATCTTCTTTGGTGAGGTGGAAAATATCATGATTGGTGTCATAGATAAAACCCGAAACATTGGCGAATTATGCAGGTAATTCGAGTTCGTACGAGGCACATGGAACAATTTTGTTGTGTCTTGTCGCATAAGGAGACTAAGACTAAGGACTAATGATAACATACAATAATAATTATTATATTGCACGGTACAACCCTATTCAAACGTTCCAAAGGTAGCCGATGCAAGAAATTTGTTTTTTGCGAGAATTCTTATTCGACTACAGAACGTGTGTTGTTATACATAATTAATTATAACAATCAAATATACAGAATTTAGAATTTTCTTGACCTACATAGTAATAATAAAAATAATTAAAAATTAATAAAAAGAAAATTAAAACAAATTCAAAAAGTTTGGTCTCTGTGGCAGTGTACCTTTAACGTTCCTCGTTGTATTGCGATACTTAGGTATTCGTTGAGCGAGGTAAGCACCAGCTCTAGGGTCACCGGTACTATCTACCGCGCCAACTTAAATCTTTAATTAGCGCCTGTGCACTTGAACCCCACGGCCCAAGAGTCTCTACTCCAAAGGGAACAAAATGTAAGTGGTAGGATAGACTCGTTTTGAGCCGTTCATTATTTTCCGTCTGCTCTGCGGCTGCCCCAGCTTTTGTGCTTGTCCGAGGGAGACGGGGCAAACGTGTCCACACAAGTAGCTTTCCATACCAAAGCCCGTCCCATCTTCCAAGGGATCAACGACATCCCTTCCGGCCGCTTGCCATCGTAATAATATTTAGTTTATTTATTATAATGCATAATTATTATTGTTCGTTTTATGTAGTGATTTTTTAATTATTTGATTATTTTTCATTTTTACCAATTAATTACTATAAAAACAATAATCTGTCACCCTGTGACGATGTGTAGGTAGCGACTTCGCGAATTTAAGTACCACAGTGGCAACGCCATTTAAAATTAGTTTATAACACAGGTGCAGCTGAAACCACAACCGAAAACACAAAGACCGATGGGAGAATTCGGTCGATTTCTCGCACTTATGTTAACTACTGTTGTTTAGCAAGAAAACTGAATGATAGTGAAGACGTCTTTTTACTTGTCTATGTGTTTAAACTGGGTTTTAATTTATCTATAAGTATAAGTAACGTCTTGCAGTACGGTGACTACATTACTTCTGGTGAGTGAACGAGACATTTCAATATAATAACAATAATATGAATTAATCCGCACCTATTGACATTTATTAGAATTTTATTACCTACGCTAAAAAGCGGCCCCAACCTGCGAGGCCTCCTCTAACTCGAAACTATTTTTTTAATATTATATCTATATCGTCCTCTTATTATTAAAAACTAAATGTGTATCGTTGAACACTTCAAAAACTACCTGTTTTGTGAAGTTATTGAAGTTATACGTCTTTAGGCGCGTTATGAAAAATTGATGAGAGTGAAATGAAGTTGCCCACGGAAGATGCTACGGCATTGGACATAATTTAAAAACAACATTCGAATAATAATAGAATTTATGTTACACTTAATGTAAGAGAATAATAATAAATATTTATTTATTGAATTTTTCAATAAAAACTGAACTTTATTGACTATAATGACTCCTTTTCCAGTCTTTGATTATTTAATTGTAATTAATTATTTGCATGCAATCATAAACTATTATTAATAATGCCAAAGAATTATAACTTCTTACGCGCGTACATAACGTTTTCTTTTATTTATTTTTTTTTATTTATGGCTCTGGCACGATTTGTGCATTAGCCAGCGTCAAGTATAGGATTTTTTATAATTCGTGCATGTCTTTTAGAAATTCGACAGTGTCCTCTATGTACGGTTTAAGCACTCGCCCGGTACCGCACAACCCTCCCAAAGGCCGAGAACAAATTTAAATTAAATTAAAACTTGCCCTCGAACCGGGAATCGAACCCGGTACCCCTCACCTAGCTGCCACTTAATAAGACCGCTAGGCTATGAGGCCCCCCGCACCCTTTTTTTATCACTATTTATGACACAGAATTATTTTTATGAAGTAATCTTGTCTCTCTGTTTCCTAAAAAAATGTGGTAAATACCTACGAACATTTAGTGTTTGATACTAATACAACGCATAATTTATTTACACTATAAATGTACGTGTAGTGTTGTAATTATAGTCGATACCAACTCCGGGGAAATAAATACAGATAATGCAACTTTTTCTACAGCTGTGATACTTTTTGACATCCAACACCTTTTGTCTTCAGTCACCGTGACAACGCACGCTGTAAAGCACGCGAAACGTCGGTTAAATTTAAAATTATGTTAAATAATTGTAAATTTATAATAATACATAACTTTAATCCGGTTAAAAAGTTTTTTCTTTAAATGTGTAAAGGTTATGTAAATCAAAGACAATACTATATTCTCTTGTCTATTTCACACGTGTATATCATTTTTCCAACATATTTTCATAAGTCACTAGCTGACCCGGCAAACGTTGTTTTGCTATATACCTATATATTATTTCTAGGAAACATTTTTTAGTTTAATAAAAATAACTACATATTATCTACTATCATAAAAAATAGAGGTTTATCGGTTTCGGAGGAGTATGGGAACGAACATTGCGACACGAGAATTTTATATATTAGAAGATAAATTATTATAGATATATGTGTGATATTTGAGAGCATAAATAAAAAAACTAGGTAACCCCTTTAATTAATAATAGGAATGACACTCACTTATAATTATTTTCGTAAGCTACCAGAATTTAGGTATATAATTAAGAATCTACTATTTATTGTACTCTGAATACGGCTTTTAATAACGTAAAATACCTCGTAGGTGCCAGCATGGCTCTTGTTGCGTTTACATTGCATAACATTATTGTTGCTGTTACGACGGGAATTCAGCTAATGCTTTTTGTTGAACCTTCGTACAGAGCTCAAGTCGAGGTTAGTTCATTTTATATATTTCTTTATTTCTTTATTAACACTTCGTTGACACAATTAAATGAAAAGGAAGGCTTCCTTACCGCTTTCGAGCGATCTCCTCCAGGCAACCACTTTAATAAAATAGATAAGGTAAGCAAGAAGTGCAAAACGAAGGGAGCAAAACAAAGCAATTAAAACATATGTAAACAGTGAACAGTACGATATAAAAAAAGGACACATGATTCATGATGATTTTAGATTTCATATCAGTTAGTACGAGAGTTGGGGATACAATGTGGACAGGTAATATCTGTAGTCTGTGCAGTAGAGATTTAAAGGAAGAAAGAGAAGGAGCTAAGCGAATACAGACAGGAAGTGAATTCCATAGACTCACTGCAGAGACCATATATATGTTAACGTAAAATTGTAAATACCGTTAGATTGTAATCTATCTCGCGAGATTATAAACTGTCGAAAGATTGTGAACTCAACGTACTGCTTACAATTTAACGTATTATTATTCGGTAGATTATAATCTATCGAAGTGAAATCGTCAAATTGTGAAACGGTACGCACCTCGCGCGCTGATTGGTTGAACGGAATATGCCATGGTGGCGACCATATTTGTTTGTTAATTCGTTTGTTGTCGAATGTAAACAAACGGTGTTTTGGTGAATGTAAATTGATGTCGTCTTGACAGTAACTCACAGCTTTAGGATGTTGAAAGTGAACGTGAAAAGTTCTATGAAAATGTTGTGGAAGTAAAATTAATCTGTGATTGACCAAAGAAGTGCAGTTTGAATGATAGATGTATACACACGGTAGACTATATATTATCACGCTAACAAAAAGCATAATTTATAGATATATATAAAAATTACTGTTCCATAGACAACACCAGTTTTTATTATTATTCATATATCACATATATTTTTATAGCAAGTGTATGTATGTTTTTTTGCTACAGGGGCCCGAAACAATGATTGCAGGAAAATCAATTTCACCTAGAGCTGGTTATGGTTTTATATTAAATTAATTTATAGATAGATGATAAGTTCTCTATTTGCAAATGTCTACTTTTACACCTATTTTCCAGTTAAGAAAGACGACATTACTAGTCAGCAGGGCACTAAACGAAGCTCTGGAAAGGAACGATTTAGATCAGCTAAATGAGCTCCGACATCTTTTGAAAATGCTACATCTCAACCGGCCGGTCTACTCCGCTTTTGGAGTCTTCAATATAGGAAGACCACTCGTCACGGCTGTAAGAATATCGTTTGTTTTCTAGTCCTACAGTCGACATATTAGCTAAAGATTGATACAAGATTGGTATTAAGACCTCGTAAAACAAAATTAATGCAGATTTAATCCAGCCATATTAATATTAATTCAGCATCATCTACCGTATTTATCATGGAGTGTTCGGATAATACCTGCTACTAAGTCATCATCGGACGTCAAGGCAGAGTACAAAATACCATCCGTATCACCTTGACGTCCGTCGTTCCACAACTGAGTGATTTTTAAGGCAATTTCTGCCGCGCACCACATCTGTGGAACCAGCAGCCCACTGAAATATTTCCGAACCAATTCGACTTGGGGTCCTTCAAGAAAAGAAAGTACCAATTCTTGAAAGGCCGACAGCGCACTTGCAAGCCTTCTGGCAATGTGAGTGTCCATGGGCGGCGGTATCACTTAACATCAGGTGAGCCTGAACCTTTGCCTCCTATTACATAAAGAAACTCACATGCTAACAACTGTTTACAGCTAATGAACTCTGTGTGATAAGCTAAAATATATAATAGTAAAATTTACTATACTTTATATTTTTAAAACTCAAAGAATAAAAAACCTTACTGCTTCGCTTCCATACAAGTTCTGATCATGATTTGATATGAAATATAAGTTTATAAAACATCTTAAAAGTTTAGTCATTTTATAAAATTTACGAAAATTACAAGTTTATTTCTTAGGAATGCACAGAAAGCTCACACAATAAATATTTCGATGAGCTTAATTGTTATTGCAATGGCACTCGATAATAAGCAATGTTTTTGTTAACAGGTACTGAGTGGTACAGCTACTATATTGGTTATGTTACCGTAACACTGAACATGTCTAATTTCTTTCCGCCTTTTTAGCTTTGTAATAGACGTGATATTGAAATAAATTTTATGCACGAATACGCCACAGCGAAAATATTTGAACCGCACCTCTATCGACATTGAACAAATTGAACAAATGCACATGAATAAATAAATAAAATTACTTGTCGTGTCTGATTTAACCACAGTTTCGTTATCGTATGAGTTATAAACAGAAGTTTAAGAAATTTGTAGATTAAAGTAATTTAATGACAGTTCATTGGTCTAGTGGTTAGTACCCCTGACTGCGAATCCATGGGTCCCGGGTTCGATCCCCGGCTGAGACAAACATCGATGTGATGAGCATTTGGTGTTGTGTAGGTCTTGGGTGTTTAAATATGTCTATCTATCTATAATATTTATGTATATCCGTTGCCTAATACCCATAACACAAGCTTCACCAGCTTAGTCCCATACTAGGTCAATTGGTGTGAATTGTCCAATAAATAATAATAATAATAATAAAGAAAAAAAAATCTATAATTTCAAGCGTATATTTTACTAGAAGGTTAATAACATTTAAGGTTAACAAGGTTAATGAGATTCAATAAGCGTAAGTGAAAACAATGAGATCATGTGTTGTTTTTTTATAACGCACATACGAAGATAACATCGTGAAAAATGATGGCTTTGGAGATATAACGCCAAGTATTATTTACTTTTGACAAATCGCATAGTTACCCTTTGACCTGAAAGAGAGCGCAAAGAAAGCGGATCTATCTGACTGAAGAAAATTCTCCAACGACGTGTTTAATAGGCGAAGTAGTATTATTAGATACAGGACTTAATCACTTATCGTGGTCTTAGTAGCGAAGTTAGTAGTAGCTAGTACTTGGCGTTTTATATTTAAATATTAAATTATCTGTGATAAAAAATAGTTAGCGGATACAAGGCTTTTCGAAACCCATATATAACCTACAAATGAGATCATTAACTGATCCAAATGAGACATTAAACGTCCAAGTTCAACAAATTTAGAAATATTTCTTTGCTTTCTTTACTAATCACCGATTACACTACAAAAAAACAAACATATAGCTTGATAAATCTTTAATGGATTTCTTAAATCTAACCGCCCATTTTATCAGCGGATACAAGGCTTTTAGATACAAATGCACTTATAACCCGGTTTCACGACATTAAAGTACAAGTTCAGCAAATAATATAGAAAATATATTCCGATTCACGCATTACATATGAATAGCAATAATATTCAGTAAATTTTATTGTTTTCGTACTTTTATAAAATGTCGTAAAATGTCTTGATTATTTAACACCGGGTTTTCAAATATTTAGGCACCGAGCTGCTTGTATAGCTCAGGAACGTAATCGTCGTATTGGGCTTCGTAGAAGTTACCCGCAATGGGGTCACCCAATTTGTACTTCTCCGCAAACTTGGCGATGGAGAACATTCCTCGTTTGTCACTGGATCTGAAATTCAAACCAGAAATTTAAAAACCTATACTTGTGAATTAATTTACTTAAGAAAAGAAAGATTTTTGAAGTTATACTTCTTTTGGCGCGTTAGGGAATAATGATGGGAGTATTTTTTTTTATATACAACTATTAATGCTGTATTTGTAAGATTTGTCTAACGAAACATTGTCTAAATCAATGTTTCTACAATAATATTAGGTCCTTACATATGAAATTGGCGTTTTGTATGGAAGGAACAAAAAGTCGAATATTTTAAAATATAATATATTTAATTAATCAAAGTATGAACCATTATTTTCTATGCACTTTTGCCATCTCATAGGTAGTTCATTGATCCCTTTACTAAAAAAAACAGTCGGACGGGAATCAATAAAATCTGTGAAGCGATTTGGACTGCCCCATCAGAGTTAAATTTTTTCCCTTGCAAGAAGTTGTCCAAATTTCGAAAAAAATGGTAATCTGTTGGAGCAAGATCCGGGGAGTACGGAGGATGTCTTAGACATTCCAATTGAAGCTCTTCTAATTTGGTAGCCGTCTGTTGTGCAGTGTGTGGTCTAGCGTTGTCGTGAAGTAGCAGTGGCGTGGAGCGATTGACCAGCCTAGGTTGTTTAGCCGCTAGCTTTTCCATCATGGTTTGCAATTGCTGACAATAGACATCAGCTGTAATAGTCTGGCCAGATTTGATAAAACTGCAATGAACAATACCGGCACTAGTCCACCAAACGCTTACAAGTAACTTTTTTGGGGTTAATTTTCGCTTGGGGCAGGATTTGGCTGGCTGGCCAGGATACAAACATTGCGCTGAGCGCTTCCGATTATCGTAAAGAATCCATTTTTTATCACAGGTAATGATTCGGTTTAAAATACCTTCATTATTTTGCCGGTTCAGTAATGTAACGCAGCATTCGACGCGCGTTAGTTAAGAGTACCAACCCTATTAATATATGCTTTGCTAGCACTAAGCCGAAGTAGGTCGTGCGTCAGCAACGACCAATACTTAGTAAGTAAATCTGAATGTATAAATGCACGAAGAAATAGATATTAAGTTGATTATTGTTTAGTTCTTAATTAAGTGTGTCACTCTGTTGATTTAAATAAATTATTTTTAAACCAAAAGTCCGTTGCCGTTCCTTTACTGGCGAGCGGTAGGATCTCCAAAGTTGCTGGAAGAAGTTATACCGCTTTTTCGTGATTGTACCACGGGTGACGTTTTAAGTTTAAGGAGATCGCCGAACAAATAAATAAGTAGGACAGCACGGCATCGGTGGAAGAGCAGCCAAGAACTAGCAGTATCCCGGAGGAGCATGGTCAAGATAACAGGACTGTGAGTAAAACTTTTCACTTCCCGTGACTTTCCTTTTTCCTCTGATAGTTATACGTAAATATTTGGATTGGAAAACGCCGGAAAAATATTTTTATTAAACAATCAAAATATTGTTAATAAAAGTTAGGTTTAAACAATTATTTTATAGGTAATTTTTTTTTTTTTTATTCAAAATGGAAAATATTGTAAGGTACCTGTAGAAATGGTAAAAATTATTCCTGTTTTTGATGGTGATAGATTATACCATTATTCATTAAAAATGCGAATAATTTCAGACATTTCAAGGTGGCAATTTACAAAATGAATATTTTTCACGTAATTACTAGTCGATTTCGGGAAGCCGAAGTTATGGGGAACGGGAACAAATAGAACTTGGGATAACCTTAAGTTATTATTAAGCCAACACTTTGGCGATCCAAGGTCAGAAGATTTCTGGTATGGAATTAGATTCCCTAAAAAGGATAAGAACGAAAGTATTAGATTGTCTGGTCCAACATTTAAGGAGTATTTTATTCTCCAAAATAAATGAAACCATTAACAACCCCGAAATAAGACAGGCCAAACAAGCGATATATAATAATTCGGCATTAAACGTTTTCTTATTTAATTTACCAGCGTACCTTGTAGATTAGTGAGATTAGTAATGTTACCACGCTGGAAGATGCTTTAAAACCGTGTTGGAAGAACAAAATTTTCAAACGTTTATGATAGTAAGAACCCAAGGTCCAATCAAAATTTTAGACCTAATTATAATAATTTTAATTCATTTCAAAATAGGAATTCTCATCGAGACAAGTTAATAATTATAATTCTCCAACCCATAACGTCCAAAGGAACTCGAATGCATCTAATTATCAAAATAATTCAAATAGTTCAAATAATTCAAATAATAATTTTCCAAGTTAGAAATGATAGAACATTAAATAATCGAAACAATTATAACACGGTATTTAGGTCACCAGTAAAACAGTCGTCGTCACAGAGCGTCGGCATTTTACGAACAATGGATTACAATACCAAGAATCGCCTATGCATCGACCTCCAACCGAATTACGATGAGAACAGCCAGTTCAAGACGCGTTAATTACACTGATACTGATAATAATATTCAACCATTGTTTATAACTGTGAATCGAACCCGACTTGTTCAAACCATGAACAAATAGGAAATTTTTTTATGATAGCCTCAACAATACCGAAAAGATAAAAATAAATTATACAAAACTAAATTTACCTCATATAATTATTCCAAAATTAAATGCACTAGGAAAAACCGATAAAGATAACCAATCAATGGTAGTTAATGTAGAAAATGAAAATAGTAATTCTATGTCTTTCTTTGAAGCATCTAGGTCTGAAACAACTGGTCGTATAGATGAACGTGATATTCCATCTCGAATTAATTCCCGGTCATCATCTCGTACACTAACAAGTAACTCTAGTACAGACACAGTACATTCCGCGGATGATATGACTACAAAAAGTGTTCCTATCCTCAAAGAAGCCATAAATACTAAACCAAAACTATTTTTAACACATACATGGGATAAAAATGAACTCTTTGTTAAAACTAAATCTCATCCAAAACAAAATATTTCAGAAATATACTTACCATTAAATAATTCGGAATTCCTCAAAGAATATATTAAACCTAAAATTAAATATTTCATTTATTACGACAACAAAGCGCATCGATCATTGTTTACGGACATAAAACGTCCCCCAAGGTTAGTCCTCGTAGTGACCCAGGCAGTAAGACCCGGGCCCTTCAACTTCAAAAGGTTGCGAAGAATCAGGCGTTCTCCCTCTCAGAGAAGAAACCGCCCTTATTTCATATGATAAGTGGATAATAATTAAGACATTAGATATTAAACTTATTAAGGAAGAATTAGAATTAAATATGCATAGATATATATAACTAAATAGAATAGTAGAATTACAGTTAAATACCAGATTCTAAATAACTTTCGTTACATTTATGAGAGCATACAAGAAATTGAAACTGCTATTGCATTTAGTAAATTGCACACCTTACACCAATCTATTATTAATTCTACAGAGTTATTAGGTGTTTTTAAAGTGATAGAAAAACATGCACAAACAATTTATCCAGTAACAAAAAACAACTTACTTAAATTAGAACGTAATATTATATTAAAGTCTTATATTGATAAGAATAAATTAGTATTTGTATTAGAAATTCCTTTGATAGAATCAGAAACGTATAACTATTACAAGGTTACTCCTATTCCTATAACAAAATCCTCTAAAACTTACACAATTATTCCTAAATATCCTTACCTTTTGGTGAATGGTTTGAAATACAGAAATGTGTTGAGCCCTTGCGAGAGTATAGAAGACAACAAATACTTATGTTCAGAAGAAAATATGGCAACAGACAATGAGGAAACATGTATCGAGGAATTAATGTTAATAAAGAATAATTACAGCCTATGTCATCAACATCAAATACGAATTGAGAAGCTAAAAATCCAGAAGATAATGAATAATAGCTGGTTGATATTCACAGCAGATAAAATAATTTTGTCAGAACACTGCAGAAACGACGTCCGTCGATCAGTTTACTGGGGACTTACATCGTGACGCCAAGTCAAGGGTGCAACATGCAAATTGGCAGAACGATCTTCGGTCAATCAAGCAATGTATCGGATGTGAATATACAGATGCCACTGGTGGTGATTCCCGAACTTCAGCAAGAATTAGCAACGGCAGATAAAAGGTTAGATTTGACAAACGTGGACTTCAGTGACGTAAAAGAAATGTTAAATAATGTGAGAAATAGTAATAGTGAAATAGTGTTGGAAAGTGTGGTGACACATAACATAAGTGTATGGACATTAGTTCTTTATTTTATAGTAGTAATAATAGTAATTGTTATAATATTAAAGTTTAAATTGTATTCTATTTGCAATAAAAGAAATTTTCCGAAGTCACCTTTAGCCCCTTCGGATAATTTCTCTCTTAGGGAGGGAGGAGTTAAGAGTACCAACCCTATTAATATATGCTTTGCTAGCACTAAGCCGAAGTGTAGGTCGTGCGTCAGCAACGACCAATACTTAGTAAGTAAATCTGAATGTATAAATGCACGAAGAAATAGATATTAAGTTGATTATTGTTTAGTTCTTAATTAAGTGCTGTCACTCTGTTGATTTAAATAAATTATTTTTAAACCAAAAGTCCGTTGCTCCTTTACTCGTTTGCCGGTTTGCTTCAGTCAATTCGTGAGGGACCCATCTTTCAAGCTTTTTAATCTTCCCAATTTGCTTCAAGTGAATTAAAACAGTTTTATCACTAACACCGCAGCCTGCAGCTAACTCGGACGTGGTTTGCGATGGATCCGCTTCCACAATAGCCTTCAATACTTCATGATCAACTTGTGTCTCAGGCCGTCCACGGGGCTTGTTCTGCAGGTCGAAATTTCCAGAACGAAAACGTTGGAACCAAAAACTAACTGTGTTTTCTTTTGCAACATGACCGCCATACACATCATTCACCCTTCGAGTCGTTTCCGCAGCACTAGTGCAACGGCGGAACTCGTACTCGTAAATAATGCGATACTTTAAGTTTTCCATTTTGTAAAATGAGTGACGCAAAGAGAAAAAAACAAATGAATGTCGGTCATCGAAGCACAAATACATGAGTAAATAGCTGTACAAATTTGAATTTTGAATTCCTTACCATCGTGATTAAAGAGGCCAGTACGAAATACGCCAATTTCATATGTAAGGACCTAATATTTGTATCATACTGAACTACTGAACTCCAACCATTGGACCTGAATTAAATAGTAAATATCAATATATATAAGTGCAATCTAAAATAAAAAAAATCCATTTCTATAATTATGTAGAAATACTTTTTTATTGTTATATTTAAACTTTATTTAACAAGATAATGCGGTATAGTAAGACTTTCAATGTATTCAATAAGTACCTTTTTTCTATTGTTAGTGTCGTTTTTTATCTTGTTGCCAAAAAAGTATAACTTCTAACGCGTGTACATTAGTACACAGACGCTTTTTTTTACATCGAAGAGTTGTTTCAACCGATTATCCACTATTATCCTATCATACTCTACATATTAATTTCTACCAGCGGAGATTTTCATTATATTGAGTATAGTTCAAAGTTGCTTCGTGCGTTCAAATCCCAGCTGCGCAAAGGATATTTCTTTCTACGTGTGAAGGCAAACAATCTTGAGAAAACCTTGCCTTAATAACTAAAACGATTTGTCAAGCACTTATATTAGGTCCTTACATATGAAAGTGGCGTATTTCGTACTGGCCACTTTAATCACGATGTTCTCCTCTTTGGTAAGGAATTCCAAATTCAAATTTGTACAGCTATTTACTCATGTATTTATGCTTCGATGACCGTCATTCATTTGTTTTTTTCTTCTGTTTTTTTCTGTTTGCGTCACTTATTTTACGCATTATTTACGAGTACGAGTTCCGCCGTGGCACTAGTGCTGCGGAAACGACTCGAAGGGTGAATGATGTGTATGGCGGTCATGTTGCAAAAGAAAACACAGTTAGTTTTTGGTTCCAACGTTTTCGTTCTGGAAATTTCGACCTGCAGAACAAGCCCCGTGGACGGCCTGAGACCCAAGTTCATAATGAAGTATTGAAGGCTATTGTGGAAGCGGATCCATCGCAAACCACGTCCGAGTTAGCTGCAGGCTGCGGTGTTAGTGATAAAACTGTTTGAATTCACTTGAAGACAATTGGGAAGATTAAAAAGCTTGAAAGATGGGTACCTCACGAATTTACTGAAGCAAACCGGCAAACGCGCGTCGACTGCTGCGTTACATTACTGAACTGGCACAATAATGAAGGTATTTTAAACCGAATCATTACCTGTGATGAAAAATGGATTCTTTACGATAATCGGAAGCGCTCAGCGCAATGGTTGGATTCTGGCCAGCCAGCCAAATCCTGCCCCAAGCGAAAATTAACCCCAAAAAAGTTACTTGTAAGCGTTTGGTGGACTAGTGCCGATATTGTTCATTGCAGTTTTCTCAAATCTGGCCAGAAAATTACGGCTGATGTCTATTGTCAGCAATTGCAAACCATGATGGAAAAGCTAGCGGCTAAACAACCTAGGCTGGCCAATCGCTCCACGCCACTGCTACTACAAACGGCTACCAAATTAGAAGAGCTTCAATTGGAATGTCTAAGACATCCTCCGTACACCCCGGACCTTGCTCCAACAGATTACCATTTTTTTCGAAATTTGGACAACTTTTTGCAAGGGAAAAAATTTAACTTTGATGGGGCAGTCCAAATCGCCTTCACAGATTTTATTGATTCCCGTCCGACTGGTTTTTTTAGTAAAGGGATCAATGAACTACCTATGAGATGGCAAAAGTGCATAGAAAATAATGGTTCATACTTTGATTAATTAAATATATTATATTTAAAAATATTCGACTTTTTGTTCCTCCCATACAAAACGCCAATTTCATATGTAAGGACCTAATATTATTATTTGAGTATAGTTATTTACAATGACGTATGTAAAAATGATAAATTGTTATAAAATACTAGCTGACCCGACAAATGTTTTGCCATGTATATTATTTCTAGGAAACATTTTTTTTAGTTCAATATAAATAACTATCTACTATTATAAAAAAAACAGGAGTTGATCGTAGAGGGGTGAGAATTAAGGGTTGTATGTATTTTTGTATCATAAAAAATAAAAACAAAAAGTTTTGTCTAAAAAATTAAACTAAAAATTTAGGGGTCTGACCACCCTTAACATTTAGAGGGATGAAAAATAACGTGTATTTTTGTATAAAAACAAAAAGTTTTGTCTAAAAAATTAAACTAAAAATTTAGGGGTCTGACCACCCTTAACATTTAAGGGGATGATAATAATGTCCGATTCTCGAACTTACTGAATATTCATAAGAATCGGTCGCGCGGTTCCGGAGGAGTATGGGAACGAACATATAATTGACACGACAATTTTATATATATAGAGATTAAAACTAGGGCTACAAAAATGAACATGTTTAAAATACGGTTTTGCTTTCAAATGCAAAATAAAATAAGAGAAATTAAAAAGAACGTCCATCAAGTGTCAGTTGTCATCTGTCAACAAAAACCGCGTCGTGATTTAGGCTGCGTGTAATTTTTTAATCGCAAGAAATTTCACATTATCAGTAAGGCATAAATTACTAAATAAGATATTGTTGATTGATTTTATTTTAGCATTTTTTGTGAATTTATTAATTATCATTAGAAGCCGAAGTTAGAATGTCCAAACCTATACCAATTTTACAAGGAAAGAGCAATAAAAATGCCGTAGCACTCGCAAGCATATTGAGTGAGCTATTTTTGCCGTGTTCAACCTAAAAACTTAGTAATAACAAACTTACGTGTTAGTTAGTCTTGGCTCATCAAATGTCAACTTAGATGGTTGCTTGTACACCAAAAACACGTATCTGTGGAGACCAGTGCCCTCTGGAGGCCCAGACCCGACGTAGGCGGACAATGTCTCACCCGAGGCGACGTTTTGCCCGGGAATGTTTCCAACCAACCAGTGGTGCCATTCACGGAATTTTGGCTCTTTGCGGGAAGGTGCGTCTGGGTCTAAGAGAATAAAACTTTTACGATCAGTTTATTACAAAAATTATTTTATTAATTTACTTTAAAGCTACTATACTATACGACAATACTTTTTTTATATACCGTCGCCCGTGGACACTTACGAATTGGTACACTATTTTCTAGAAGGACCCTTAGTCGAAATATTGTAACTAACACAATAATAACTATAGGTATGTACTTATGATTGTGTGCTTTAAAAATTATTATTATTTTATATAACTAATTTATAATTTAGAAGTTTGGTCCTGTCAACTGTTTTCTTGCCTTATACCTTCAGAATTTGTTAAATTAGATTTCAAAATAATTTATCAAGTTGTATATTTCACTTGCCGGGCTATTTATATTAATTTTTACAGTAAATAAATAAATGTTTTGAATGAGCCTTCAAAATGCACAGCAACACAAAGCTGTAAGTACTAACATACCGGTTATAGCCAAGGTGTAGAAGCTATCAGGGCTGGCATCATAGCTGACACTGGGCACATCCTTCACCTGTCTTGGCGTCAGCTCGTTGCCTTCTTTCACCTCCACACCACTCGGATACTTAACCTGGAACCAATTAATCTCTTGGTAGATTTAAATTATGGTTTGTTGTGTCTTAAGTGATTTTGATATGGTTATTTAGCAATATAACAAATATATTTCTAATATCTTTTATTCCCTGGTAAATTTTAACTAAGAACCATAAGTACAGAAAATAAATAAGAAAACAAAAAAAGCGTCTGCTATTAAACGATTTTAATAACTGATTTTTTTCAATTTGTACAAATACAATTTTTTTATATAATTGAAATTAATAAGTTTTTTTATTTATATATTATATTTGCCACCGTCATATTAATACATATTGATACCTTTTTATTATTTTCTATTTGCAATTTCTCCCGGATCACGAATGCACACAAAACTTTCGAGTTATGTAATATAACGTAACAAATTCGCGTATATATCCGACGCATGTAAAAATTATTTTAGTGGTTTTTAAACATTTTATTTGTCCCCGAACCACTATTTCTGTTCTATGAGTTAGCAATGGATATGGCCTTAAGACACAGGATGGCATTAATGTATTATAAAGCTAAGACTGCGTAAATTGAGTAATAGGATCGTCCTTTCAATTCGATTAAAACCTGTTGATACTGGTTTTATTTTCTACAAGCGTCTTTTAACGAATACACTTTGTCGTGTCAGTTTTTTGAATTAAGAATTTCGATAATTTCTCGAAGTTATCTATTCTATAAATGTACATCTTGTATATCCATAGGTAGCTAGTTCAAATCCGGTTCGAAGGACCAAAAGGCTCCTGGGTCATCGAGGTGCTTTAAATAATCGAGGATTTTAGTTTTATTATTTACGTACAAAAAGAATTCATGCAATGTAACAGTTGAAGAGAGTGCCTACGTCTGGCTATACTCTCGGTGCGTACCTCCGACGATTTTGGAAACCGCAAAGCTTAGATAACTAAGAAAGCCTGAGTGAGCAAAATGTACAGCCTTGGCTCGTACAATGAGGCAATTATGGAACAGATAACGTTCAATAAATTGTCTTTTATTTACGTTAGTACTCTTAACTACAAGAACATGTATTTCGTTAACCTTTGTTTATAGAGGAAATGCACTCCAAACGTAGACTTCAAAAGTACTGAATTCAAGTTTCTATAGGTCAGAGGTTTATTTAAATTTCCGAATGCCTGCGCCTAGTTATTACACTATGCCAATGATTATGTGTTTCCATTACCATCACGATATTAGACGAAACTACTCTTTATCAATAATTATTTCTAATTTATTCGTTCGTAAAAAAATATGATTTCAAAGAATTAATCTTTCGCCAAACCGGAGTTCACGTTCGTTTCGGAACCCTTAGCTTACATCGGGAGGAAAAAAAAAAAAAAAAAAAAAATTTAACCGGGGGGGGGGTATGTATTATTATAAATTTACAACTATTTAACATAATTTTAAAACACGCAGCATGCGTGGTCACCGTGACCACGCACGCTGTAAAGCACGCGAAACGTCGGATAAATTTAAAATTATGTTAAATAGTTGTAAATTTATAATAATACAAAATTCAATCCCGTCAAAAATTTTAAAATAAATGTATATTATCTTAAAATTATAGTACATATTATATCCTCCTCTCTCCACTTCCTCTTGAATAAAAATATCCATAGATAAAAACCATTTCTAGGACGGTACCCTACGTATATTTTTTCAGGTACCCTAGAACTTTGAAACAGTACCCCATCCTGGGATAGGCATTGAGCGCGTCCACGGGCGGCAGTATCACATAACATCTATCACACTAAGACCTGGCCTTGCTTAGTTTAATAGACCCACGCTGATACAGGAAACGATCATATTATAATATATAACGATATGCATTTATGGTAAATTTTCGAGTTAATAGCAAAAGCATGAATCGGATATCCGTGATAAATAACAAAAATTGTAATTATTATATCATTTTCGACATTTTTATTTTAATAAAAATATATGCTGTCTCAACTACAGGTACAGTACTTTGATAAATATTTGATGTTTATGTATTTTCTACCTATTTCCGCGGTTAAAGGAACATATCAGATCTCATAAAATTTATTTATATATTAAAAAACCTGTCCTAACAGGTGACCCTAATTAACAGTAATGCACAACAAGTGAATAATATTTACAGACGAAACAAAAAACAAACATAAGAGATTAATTCGGAAGAACAAAATTACATAAAAATACAAAAAATTAACTTACTATAAGGACTAACAAATAATAGAAATTTTGTCAATAAGTAATATTAATAATTTGTTGGTACAATAGAATATGATGAAACAATAGTCGTTGCGGTACACGATTTTTAAGGAATTTCCTGATTTCTTTAAAAGAAGCTAGCTTGAATAAATATATACAAAGTGTATCTGAATCTCACCCCTACTGACTGAAGTTGTACAACTTATCACTTGAAAATGTATGTTTTGTAAACATTATCGGAATATGAAACCCGTACTCTGTAAATTCCAATAGCGATACACGATGTTTACGTATACAATTTCGATATGGTTATGTCAATATGGAGAGAAATTGAGTGATCTGCCAAAGACTGAGGCTGTTTTTTTACGCTGGATGCCCTCTGCCCCACCTGGGATAGGTACATGAGACCTAAACTCAAGTCAAATCTGTCACTATGACAATTTTAATCAAAACTTAATATCTGACATGCCTTTAAACATTTAAAAATAACGTTTATCGTTAGACCTTGACGATGATGAAGCTAATTATATTTTATTACAAATAACAGATTGGCGGGTTTATAAACTCAGTAATTACAAATTAAAAATGATTTCTCAACCTACGCTGAAACAGAAAATATTCTTATTGTGCTTCAATAGTTTAATTATAAATTGTAGATGTATGTAGAAATTATTGTCAAGTACCGCTACCATGTCAAAAGGAAGAGACTAGCTCACAACACAGGGAATCCCAGTGTGGGAGCCAGTGTACTTTCTTTACCTAAATATCCCTTTTTTGTGTGTAATAAAGGTTTTTCATTTAATAACTATTTCACTACTAAAAACCTTAGCATATCATTCCGATATTTGAAATACAATCTTTTTAAACATCGAATATTTTATTCTCTTAAAAGATATACTTATTTACTAGCGACCTGCCCCGGCTTTGCACGGATGCAATGAAACTAAATACACTACAGCAAAACTTGTGAACGTTGTTATAAAAACATAAGGGCCCGCTCCAGCCTCGCACGGGTATAAAATATATAGCCTATGTCACTCACTGAAAAAATGATTAAAATCGATCCAGTAGTTTTGATTTATTCATTATTGCGTGTGGATGTTATTATACATATAAACCTTCCTCTTCAATCACTCTACTAAAAACCGCATCAAAATCCGTTGCGTAGTTTTAAAGATTTAAGCATACATAGGGACAGAGAAAGTGACTTTGTTTTATACTATGTTGTGATTAGTAATCTTAACACAGATTACAGAGATAAACAATAAATTAAAAACTAAAATAAATATATAAAAAGAGATAAATAAATGAATAAAAGAAAACTCAAATTTAACATTAAACAAACGACACTTAATACTTAATATTTCAAAGAATATACGAAATTTGGGACAATCTTTCTTAAAATATTATGTGCGATACGTAACGACTGATAATTCATATGTATTTTTAGATTTGTAAACAGCTTTTGTGAGTATAAGACATTGGTTTGGAAAGTTGATAACGTAACATAGGCAAAACACCTCCAGGCTTTTTAAACATTTTTAGAAAGTTGACGTTAGGTAGCAGTAGGGCAAATTTGCTGAATATTATTTATTACATTTAACGATATGTATTTTTTTTAAATAACAAGGGTCAAACGGGCAGGAAGCTAACCTCATGTTAAGTGATACCATGGACACTCTCAATGCCAGAGATTTCGCGCGTGCGTTGCCGGCCTTTTAAGAATTGATACATTCTTTACTTGAAGGACCCTAGGTCGAATTGTTTCGAAAATACAGTGATTTACTGGTTCCACATAGAGGTGCGCGGCAAAAACTGCGTTCAGAATTGCGTTTATGGTATACATATATGTATATCGATTTTAATTTCGCAAATCGGAAACCAATTTCAAAAATATTCAAATATTACATTAACATTATGAATAACGACGACGTTACACAATTATTATGATAAAGTAAATAGCATAAATAAATTTTAAAATCTACGAGCCACATAGTTTTTGAAACCTATCAATCGAATTTGACTCTTCGTTTATTATAAAAACAATCCATAGCATTTTTGATAAAGATTTAGGCGAATTAGGGACAAATAAGAAATTTTCAACTTACTAAAAATTATAACAAAATGAATACTCACAGTAACCAAAGCATTTGGCGCCTTCGGGATGACGTCAGGCACCACGCCGTTGGCCTCAAAGTTCTTAGCAACCGTGGACATGGCTCTCGCAAACACCCTAAAATTGACCATAGTGCCGTCTGCTATTAACAAAAGAATCGCCAGTTTGAATATACGAGCCATCGTACACGACATGCACAGGTGACCGGAGATCGCGAAATGTGAAACAAAGTTGTATTACCAGTTTAACTACAGGTTATATACGGTTGGCAGAAAAGGAAATGGTCATTATTTCTATAGAATTTCAGAGTTTTTTTTGCATAATCTGGTGAATCTGATTGATTTTTTCCTCAATTAGATGCTGGTCTTATTATAAATAAGGACGTGATTTTTTACATCCTTTTATTTATAACTAGCTGTGCCTGCGGTTTCATCCACGATTATTTGGTCTGAGCGCAATGGTATAATTTACCCTATCAGTGATAATTTAAAATAGTTAAGTATTATTATAGATTCATTACAGAGACACAAATTTGTTTTTGAGTGTAAATTATGAGTTATAGTTGTATGTAGACTAAGTTTAGATTATTCTAAACTTAGTAAGTTCAGATCAGTGTAATCTATCTTCTCATCCTTCTGGACCAAGAGTTTAATGAGTGCATATACACAATCTCACAAAGATTTTATTCATCTCACTCTAGCAAACTTTTTATCAAAACAATATAGAAAATTAAGTGTTTATTTGTTATTAGATTTACTACTAATTGAGGAAAGCATTCAACAAATTGGAACACTAGTTAATAATTATCAAAGTAATTTAGTAAACATTTATATTTAAAGTAATATAGGTTTACCATAGATCCAAATAAAGATTTAAAAAAACTAATTAGCTACAATAAAACTGACACATCCTTCTGCCTTAAAATTTAATTTAAATTACTTTTGAGATCAATTCAAGGGCAAATTTGAGTACAGAATTACAATAATTATCTAATTACCATTTAGGGCAATTAACAGTTCACATAACCTTAACCTAAAATCAATATACTCAATACAATAAAATTAATTTATTAAAAATTATGAATATTTAATGCACTATTTTAAGTAAAAAAAACAATTTTAATATAGAAATGTTTTTGTTGTATTAACTTGATTGTACAAAATACACATAGTTTTATTTATTTATTATACATATGGAAGGTCAATTTACATTTACAAAATGTAGCTTATAGGCAGGTGGGTCGTGCACATTCTGTGCCAATAAATAAATTAGCTCTTAGTGATAACTATAACACAACATTATAAATACACTGAGAAAAATCTGTATAAAACTGATGTGTAATTGATATAAACTAGTGTATTAAATATATCACATTTCTTTTGCATATAATAATATAACGGTAGATTATCTGTCATATCCATTAAACTTAACCTTTTAACGCGATACCGGTATGCGGTTGATGAATATTTTTAGCTCATAAATCTAAAACTCTTTAATCAATGCGAGATGTATATGTAATTAGCATTACGTAATTGTAATGTAATTTTTTAACCTTCCACCTGTTCTGCCAACTCTTATCGCAATGTTATTAGTTAACAATTTCTAGAATCTTGATACACAACTGGAAATGATAATGAGATCTAAATTGATATTACACTACTCTGCTTTAGGCAGCGGGAAGAATTAAAGTATAATACCTTACCTCTTATCACAGTCGTATATGTACAAAAATAATGCAAATTACAATTTACAACTAACACTGCGGTGCTTTAAAAAAATATTTAAAAAATTCTGTTGTAGCTAATAATATATAAATTGACGAATGACGACTATTTCTTAAATATTAAATGTCAACAGTCAAATGTCTCCTCCAAATGTGGAAAAAAATGGAAATAAAATGGAATGTCAACGTCACGTCTGCTCCATAAATATATGTCACTCGTCTCGGTGCTCTGTGGTCGACTCAAGTTCTCTTTAGTCTGTACTATTCAATAGTCATAAGTCAATACATAATCTGATCTCTATTCTCTACTTCAGTCTTCAATATTTGATATAATTAATAATTATGTTTTAAATTATCACTTTCGGAGTGTTGTGTTTTCATATTGGGCTTTGGAAAATTTAATTAAAATTATTTTACTGTCAGATAAAAGTATAATGTTGTGCGCTACAAATTAACAATTTTTTAATTAATTTATGTCGGATTTTTAAGTATGTCACCGCGTAAACAACCGAGTAGCTTATTCAAATTATGTGTAAGAACCTCCCTAAATTTAATTAATGAATGTTGTTTTATAATCGAAAAAAATTATGCTGATATAGAATGTAGAGAATCCGAAAAGCACATTATTTTACTGAAGGAATATCTAGTGTCATTGCTTCCTACAAGGTTTGTATTTTATTTGCAATTTATAACAAATACACATACCTGTTCATTCTGTTACACAAAATTTACTTCCATTATGTTATAATGTTTTGTCACTATCTATTATTTGAATTATGTGGTTTTATTCTTTGTAAACAAAATAAAAAAACTTTACCTTTTTGTTTTGTTTCAGATTGTTTGATATACTTTGTTTGGAAAGAGGATGCTATCGATATCGCGGTGACCCTAGAATACAACTCAATGTTCTTATTCATCCTAGTATGTCAATCTTCCGCAAAAGTGATCTTGACAATGGTATTCCCCAAACTTTCTGGGTTCAAGTTATGCCACGGTTTACACATTTGGTTGTCCTTGATTTAAAATTCATCTGTACAGATGAAATCCTAGAATTGATTGGCTCAAAATGTCTTCTACTTGAAGAGCTAAACATAGTTTCCCGAGTAGATATTTGTAAATCTCTAATTAATGCATCTGTCCTCATTAGGAATGTGTCAGATTCTGGATTGGCTTATATATCAAATCTTAAAAATTTGCGCATATTAGCAATGGATCCTCCTCGTAATGAAAGAGCTAGTCGAGTAGGTAGATGTGTCTCCCAAGCTGGTATTATTATGCTTATCAGTGAACTTCCCTATCTTGAGGAATTGAGAATAGAATCATGTGATATAGGTTCAACATTAATAAATACAGATGTCAGCATTGGACCACTCAGCTTAAGGAAAATCAACTGTCATTTTGCATCAGCTGAGGGTATGCGGAAACTTGTAAAAATTTGTCCACATTTAAAAGAATTGTCCATTACACATTTGTCTGCAAACAACAAGGATGCAATACTGGAAGAAATAGCATTAAGTGACTTAAGGTTAAGTAAGTTAGACATGTCATTTTTTTCTCACAGTGATTCATTGCATCGCCTTTTGGAGGTAAAAGGAAGTTATCTAACACATTTTTCTCTATGGGAGATTGATCACTCATTAAGTTTAGATGAAGTCATTAACTTAGGTACGAGTTGTCCAAATCTCACATCTCTTTGTCTAATAACTCAGTCCAACTACCTTTCAATTCCAAGATTTTTCCGCCAACCAAAAAATATATTTCGGCAACTTGAAGTATTGACATTGGGAAATGAACGCTTTAGTATTGAAGATATTTTAGTTTTTTTTCTAGAATGTACACTGTGCTTACGGAAGTTAACTTTAAAATTTCAAACAAAATTATCAATTGATAATACACTTATATATATCTTACAAAAGGGATATTTTAAACATTTACGTAGTTTATGGTTGGATTGTACATTGGAAGTATCAAAGGATGTGGTAAAACAAGTTATACAGGGTTGTGAGATGTTGCAACTATTCACTGTAGACTTTACGGAGGACATGAGTGATGTACACAAATACATAGCCGATAATAACCTAGACTTAAAACTGGGTGGCTATTAATATATTATAATTTAGGTTAAAATTATATTTTATCTTTAGAATAAAGTTTTTTATTTTAATGACATTTTATTACATTACCAATAAAGAGTTTGAATACAGAAAAAGAAGGTTGTGTGTAATATTTATTTACATTTGTCTAAATTATTAAAACAACTTCTGATTTTTGCATCAGTTTAAAATTAAACATGAACATTATCTTAATACAATATCCTTATATATATATATATATATATAAGGATATTGTTAAAAATTTGTATACAACTTCTAACTGATCAGAGGGTTTAGTCAAGATAGAAAACTAAATTTGTATGAAAATGACAGTTTGTGTTAACAAATTTTCATATAAATTTAGTTATTGGGCGTGTTTGGCCGAAGTAAGTACTTACTAAATTTAGTAAGTCACTTACTATGCTTACAAAATTTTCGGCCGGGACACAAAATAAGTGCTAACGCAGTAAGTATGGCTTAATATACGACGCCATTTTGCTTATTGTTGATGTAAACAAAACGGACAATAAAATATCCAATAAAATATTTCTCATAAAATTATCCATTTGAAACTATTCACAGGTACTAAATTATATTCCTAAATTTAGTACTGTCAATTATATTCAGTCTATGAGGTTATGTACGGGATATGACATAAACCGGTGTTTTGTGTTATGTTAATAAGCCAGTAAGTCTGTCCTGGCCGAAAAGCGCTACAGTCAGCTTGTAAGACTTTAATTTTTTTATGCTTACTAAGTTTAGTAAGTACTTCGGCCAAACACGCCCATTGACTTTCTACATACACTACTGTCAGGCATAAGGCATCTTGACTAAACCCCCTGTATGTTTCACACCAATAAACAATCTGACAGAACGCTTTATCTGTAGCAAAAAGTTCAATATCATACTCTTGCACAGATAAATATATAAAAAATATTAAATTCCTTCACATATCATACAAATTCTTTGAAATGAGGATGATAAGAGAATAATAGAAATTTTTTAAAGCATGTCATACAAATATAATTACACCCCATTTTAAAATTAACATAATTACATCAGAATCTAGATATAAATATGACAGATACATATTTCTATCTTCTATATAGGATATAGATGGCGTAGTCTTGCTCTTTCGTGAATTTTGTAAACGTTGTTGACATTCATAAGCATGCTCTAAGAAGCATCTAAATTGATTAAACGTATTTTGATTTGATTGATTTGATTTGATAAAGTTGTATATTAAAAGCCATCACAAGTATGTTGGTTTAAGAACTGTCTCTGAAATGTATACAAATGTTTGTGTTTTTTAACTTTTATTTATTAAAAAATCAATAATTGACTTCACTGACTGTGTGTTAGTCGCAACAGATGTGTGCAAACGTTTAATAATATTTAACTAGCATCTCTTACCAACTATCATAATTCTTCTAGGATATCACATTACTATGTCTAGTTTATGTTTCCGCCACACCATTTTTTACTTACAAAGATAAAAGTAAAAGCATAAAAAGTTGTATCCTATTTTAAACAGTATATTGCTTGTATAGAAAAAATTCTATGGAACAGACATCAGAGGCCCAGATACCGGGTAATTAGTACAATAGTATTTACAATAATTTTTCATCCTTAAGCATATGCAAATATTAAAACTACAAACATTAATTCTTAAACTAGCTTAAATTTTTTTTTTAGAGATTTATCCTTTTCAGTGTTTAGTTGTGAGTTTGTTTTATAAAATTTATTGCAAAAATAGGAATGAATCAAGACATAAAATGTTACAGACAACAATTTGATAAAAATCTCATTGATTTTAATACATTTTAATTCAAGATAGCTTAATATAAAATGCATCAATATGGATAAGTACTATTACAGCTTACAAATATTATAATTAATATTTCCTCATACGTTTAGTTCAAATTTTAAACTTAGTCAGTCAGTCAATCAAACCATTTGACAGTACTCAAGACAACATTAGTCATACTCAGAGTCTATAATTAACAATTAATTAAGCTATTTATATTTAATTATATTCACAAGTTTAAAAATGTCTTTCACTGCTATGATTTTTTAAGTTTTCATTCACAACAAGTTGAATCATTATTTTAATATATAATTAAAATATTCACCTACCCTAACAGATAATTTAATGGACGACTTTAATTCGATGTTGAAAAAACACTTCACTTACTATTGAGTTTTATTATCATGTGTGTACATAACACTTTAGTTTACCACATAAGTCATTTTAGTTCATCACTGTCAGCACTTTTAGGCTCACTTGCACTATCACTGTCAGTAGTCTGGCCGAGTAGAAGCCAGTACTTTTTTAATTTGCCGTGTCAAGTGGGTGTGGCCGGGCCGGCCGAAGGTGATCGCTAGGACTCCTTGCTCTCTGGTACTGATTCCTGAAATTAAAATAAAGACAATTTAATTTACGTAATGTATTTAAACACCTTTATTAGAAATATGAAAATACGCTTTTACATATTTAAATCACTTTACTTTTAAAACTAATATAAAACATAGTAGTTTTTGAGAAACTTGAAAAACAGGAGAAAATTAACGGCCTATATTATATATATATACAATATACATTATTTATATGCTGTAAAGAGATTTATATAATAAATTTAAATATATACATATTTAAATTGACATTTGTATGAAAGTCAACTCGGGGTCGAGATAAGTGATAGCAGTCAAGACAAGATGGACTGAGATAAGTTTTGGGGTCCAAGATTCGTGATCTAGTAAAAATGCTTTATATACAAAAATTTTATGAAAGTAATTTATAATCTAGAAACATTGGTTACATTTGGTCGGAAAAAAATAATATTTCAGGTTTAACTATACTTGAGTACAGTACTGTACTTGGGTACTAAAAAACGTTACGGCGAGATACATGGGGAGGGGGGGTCAATAATCTCCAAAAATTGCGTTACGTAATACTTGAACGCTCCCTAACTCACATAAATGCGTACATACAAATAAGTTAATGTAAGAGTAAATGTGTTTAAAAAAAGGAAGGACCTTTACCTTGTCATTGTCTTTCTCATCATCATAAAACTCGTTCTTAGGCTCCACCATTTTATCTGCTTCCTCTTGACTGATACGGATTTCCGGATCTGGCTCCTCTTTTATCCTCTCTTCTTCGGGAAAGAAGTCACCTGATAAATTATTAGATAATAAACAAAACATAAGCTTATTGATTTATTGACCTCTTAGCAAGATTATTTAATTAATTATTATGTTATTAATTATTTGATTGACACAAAGATGAAACATAAATTTAAAAAAAAAATAGTCTATTAAATTTTTGTATGATAGAATCAAAGTATACGAGTATTGACAAAACTATACAAAAATAGTAATTTTTATAGAATATTGATTAGTCTTAATATCAACTATGTACTCAATGTTTATGCATTTCTTCAATTAATGGAACTCCTTGGTAACGAAAGAATTTAAAACTATTGAAAATACAGAGTAAGCCTGCAGATGTACTGAGTGACTCGACAAGTCAAACAAAAGACATATACATAATTTATTCATATCAGTAGCAATATACACTTTTAATTTTAATGAAAACATTTACTATTGTATCAAGACATAGTAGAGAGGGCTTAGTTAAGATGCTAATTACAGTAGTGAATGTAGAAAGTCGAAAACTAAATTTGTATGAAACATATGTTGACACAAACGGTAATTTTAAGGTAAGATGATAAATGTTAATTTACTTTTTATCAAAATAAATTTACATTTATTGCCAGATCTTAAATCAAAGCTAATGGTAGGGGAGCCCACGAAAATGGGATGGGAGAGCCTAGGGAGAAAGTTAGATAATAAGAAGAAAAAAATGTTATATGATAAATTCCTTTTCATCGGTGGGGGAAGCGGCTATAGATAGTTAAATATGTAAAAAAACTGTTGCATGGACATCCGAGCGCGTCGAATGAAGACTATGCCTAGATTTTAATAATGTACGTATGTAATCTTATGGGGTGGTGTATTAAGGGTTGAAAATGAAAAAAATAATTTTATGAGCGCGTCAGATTTTCTAAGGGAGTGTTAAGTGCACCAAAAAAAGCTCTCATTCACTAATCTGACGATTTCGATGGGACGCAAACCCACAGCCATTTTCATAATTTGCAAAAAAATCGCAATTTTGAAATACTCAAGCGCGTCAGATTAAGATATATGTGGTTCATCTTTATGTTCTAAACGTACTGTCTCATAATTGACGATTATCTAGAGGGATTGCCTGATCTGACAAAAAAAATTTAGAAAAACGGTTCACCTAAAGGGCCATCCCTGCAACTTCCCGCTAATTCCATCTGGGCTTAAAATTGATATTTTGAGCTGTGAGTTCAAAGAAATAAATTTCTATGCATTTGAGCTCTCCCAGTCGAAAGTTGATAGAAGTTTCATAGAACACTATTTTTGGAATTTTCAAACCGCAATAACATTTGAATGGATAAGCAATTTTAGGGTTGGCGGCATTCGACGCAGTTTTATCATCCTCATAAGTAATTTTGCAATTTTAATTGATCGAACCACAAATTTGAGTAATCCCGAATAAACACTTTTTCGGGTTTCTTTCGTTCACGATATCTCTCGAACGAATCAACCGCTTTTGACAGCTTAGTGGCGATAGTGGTTTTTCAAGTCAAAGGCGGATTAGTTTGAAGTTGATCGATAAAGAAACCACTTTAAAAAAAAATATTTCTTAATTTTTTAAGATTTTTCAAAATTTCTCAAAATCTATCGTTTCGAATCGGTTCAAATTCACAGGAAATGTAATTTTGAGGGAAATATTTAGAACGCCGTTTAGTAGATTCCGATCGGTTTAAGGAAATGTAGGCATCACGCAGCTGCACGCATTTAACTTTATCACGAATTTTTGTTATTTGGCTTGCGGAAATCTCAGATTATATATTTTTCATTATTCTTGAATTATTTCCTTCAAAATAAAAAAATTAGCTACGCTCGCGAATGTCGAGATGACGTTTTTTTTACAACTTTGTGCCTCCCCTTTTTTTCCGTCACTCTCAAATTGTCAGATTAGTGGAATATACACTTTTTAGGATGTAATAACTACCTACCTTAATTGATGCGTCGGGAATCTTTTTTTACTAATCTGATCCTGCTCTACGGCGGCTTATATATGGACTCATGTTTTGTGGAGGTATTAACCGAGTACAAGCTATCCCCTGTATATTAATCTGCGGCTTTAGTAAATCCCGAAATCCCCTCTTGGGCTCCCCTACCATAAAGAGCGAACAATAAGAACTGTCAATAGTGTGAAAGTCATAATACCTGGTATATGTGACATCTGTACGGCAGGTGAATGCTGACACATCTTCAGATTGTCATATACATATTTGCTTATTGCATCCAAATACTGCTTACTGTTAGCATTTGTTGTCCTATAAATTAAATATTCATAAATAAACATTAAGTACCATTTAAAAAATACAACCGTAATTAATAATTTTGAGAAGGTGAATCATATTAATCAATTATTAATTATATAGCAAAATAAAACAAGGGATTCAATATAATTATACAGTACTAGAATTTTTTTTTTACTACATAATACATAATATATTTCAATAGTATGTCTGAGATATAAAAAAAGAACATTTGGTATTTAAAAATAAACCAAACAAAATTACATTGTCGAATTTAACCTCCTTTAAGTTTTTATTCTTTTGAAGTTGGTTAAAAGTACATCGACGAGGTGTTCATTAACTCGGAAATTATATTCATGTAACATGCTCGAAACAAGATGATACTTTTAGTCATATTTCACATATATAATATATATTTTATATTATTAGAATATATATCGAAACCATTACTGAAAAAAATTAAATCCATCAACATATAATCAAAATTACATAAAAATTGAAGATTATTTCGGTTGACTGATTAATGATTTAATGAATGTATTTTTCTTTTTTCTTTCTTCAACTATGAGGAAAATGTTTGCTTACCCAGATACTTCAGGATGCAACTGGAAATCCGGTGCAAAAAACTCAAGATACTCAGTGTATGGAAGCTCATTTGATATGTCTTCGTCTATTAGAAGTGAGGTCTCATATGTCCAACAACGTGCCACGTTACGGAGGGTATAACTGAAATATTATTTAATTTTTAACTATTTAATTGATTAAATTAAAAGTTAAAAGATTCTTAGAAACTCTATATAAAGTCCATTATTCCTTCTTCGCCATGGTCCAGACATTTATGTGACTATTTAGGGTGATGCTTTTTAAGTTAAAAATAATTAAAATATATATCATAATATCTTTATCTTATTTTAAATACGAGATAACGCTTCACTGCTTATATAATTATGTACATTAAGCTTATTTCAAATCATATATCAAACTAAGTTTTGAGCATTGTCAAATCAAACTTTATAAAAATGCTTTGACAATTCTTAAAACTAGATTTTAGTTAAATATTCTGGAATATAGATCTTAGTTATGGAGGCAGGTAAGTCAGGAAGTCTGACTAATAGATGATCCAAGAACTGAAGTCAAAACTTTGCTATATAATAGTCAGAATGTTTGCCTAGGACCACCACACCACACGTCAAGTTCAATCATAAAGGAAAACTATTAAGAAATTTATTTAAGTGAAATAAATAGTCACAAAGGTACCTACCCTCCTCCTCCTACAACAAGTGTGGGAAGATTCAGATTCTTGACAAATTGCACACATTCCCCGTGACCTCGAGTTGAAAGTGAGAAACATCCAAGTCGATCCCCAGCTAAGGAATCAGCGCCACATTGAAGTACAATTGCGGTTGGCCGATAGAACTCCATCACACTAGATATAACTGGCTTAAAAACCTGAAATATTTTATTAATTAATCAGTTCTACCAAATTAACCACACATAATACACACATGCATACATATATATTATGCATAAGGTACCAATACACCACAACTAACATGACATATACCCCATATGTCATGTTAGTTTTTATCAATAAACAAATTATATGTTTGTAAATAATATGCTGCAATATCTTAGTAAAATAATGTTTTATTTATCTTTTTGTATTATTAAATATATAATGCAAGTATTGTGTCTAACCTGGACATAGCTGTGATCATCAATTCCTTCTTTCAGCGGCACATTAACTGAGAAATACCTTCCACTTTCAGCTCCAGTTTCATACATATCTCCAGTTCCCGGAAAGAAATAATTTCCATACTTATGGAAGCTCACTGTCATTACTCTATCGGTTAAATAGAATGCTTCTTGCACACCATCACCATGGTGAACATCAATGTCTATGTATAGCACTCTCGGGTGAAATTTAAGTAATTCTAATATAGCTATCACTATATCATTTACATAGCAAAAACCTGTAAGAAAATATTTGTGTTTGATTAACCAAGTACATATAATATACGGTAAGTTATGCTCACATAATTAAATAAGACCTGCTGCTGTAAAATTTTATGCTGGTAGATCAGTGCAAAGTATATTATTTGCAGTTTACTTCGGATTTACATGAACTAAATAAAATAGATGAATAGCAGAATAACAACATACCTGAAGGTTCAAACTTTTTTGCATGATGTAATCCACCAGACCAATTTATAGCAATGTCACAAGCATTATTGTTAAGTTTCATTGCCCCTTCAAGGGAGGCTCCTGTATACATAGAGCAGAAGTCGAATAAACCCTCAAACACAGGACAATCATCACCTACATTGTAGTGAAGCAAATCTTTTGAATAACCTGTAAATAGAATTTTAATTACAAAAAATTGCTGCTAATTGCAGGATATGGTATGGGTACTAGTTGTAGCTATTGTTGGACTAGATACATCAGGATTTGATGAAAGTAGTAAAGGTTTAAAAAATATTCTTTAATACAACTATGTACTCATAAAATCTTACTCTGAATATTTTGTGGAGTTACATTCTGCAGAAATTCAATATAATCCTCGCTGTGGAAACGGCACATGTCATGTGCACTGGCTCTGTATGGTCTATAAATCTGCATTTTCTTGTGCAGTCCATAATTGAGCACCAAACTATGCGTTACGGATAGCCTATGTGGTTTCATCGGATGTCCAGGGCCATAATGAAAATTTCCTACGTCTGGGTTATAAAAATAAGCTACTCTGTGTTGAGTCATTGTGAAAATACAAACACGTATTCTTTTAAAACTAAAATAATGCCTAGTGCAATCGCAATAACAATCAAGCGTTTAGTGAGTTGAATATCACCTAACATGCTTATTTAAAAGTAAGAAACATTTTTAACCACTTGCTTCTATTCTTAAGCAGTAATACTTTAAACTTAATATTAATATTATTACACTTTATAAAACTTTAATTTTACGATATTATCATTTATCAAGGCAATATCCAAATTACACAGACTAGTGATCGTGGAGTTTTTTTTTTTTTTTTTTTTTTTATGACCTGGTAACTCGTGAAGTGTGAATTGCATTTTGCACAGCCCCACTAGGCACTAATACATTGCTTAGAATAATTAGAATGTCAAGGATTTCATAGCTAACTGATTTTCGCGGTTTCCCCCGCTTTATTTTTCTTATTATTTTGTCGCGGAATTATTTCCAAGACGAGATATCTCCTTAAAAAAATAAAATGTCTCCTTCATAAAATGTCTTTCTTTTAATTCAAATGTAATTTTAATTGAAAATTAAATACCGTATTTACTCGTATAAGGATTAATATCATATTAGCATATTACATAACAAGAAGTTAGTTAGTGTTGGCCTAGTTGCACAATCAAGCCATTGTGCAACTCTAATCAATGAGATCGAATCCTGGCTATGCAATAATGGACTTTTCTGATTATTTGCGCACAAACCACTCACGGTGAAGGAAAACATGAGTTAAACCGAAACCGGTGTTACACCCAAAATTCGATGGCGTGTTCCAGGCACAGAAGGCCAAGAAGATCACCTACTCGTCTATTAAAAAAAACCAAATGATCACGAAACACAGAAATCTAGGGTTGTGGTGACACTGTTTTTTTTAAATATGTTTGTCTACCTCCATTCAACATGATATCCAACTCAAAAAGAATTTAATTTGAACAACACTGTAGTTACTACTTACTGCTCGTTCAAACATCAAACCAAACCAAGCAAGCACTTCCTAAATGTTCACTTTTAACAACTCTGTTGTAACTTTGAGCTTTGAGGCTACCGTCAAATTGTCATAAGTCACAAATGACAATTTTCTTCAGTTTTGAGTTTTGCCTTCTAACTTGACTTTATTTTTTAGTTTTCAGTTTTCGGCTTGGTGTGGTAAACTGAATATAATTAGATAGAAATTAGTTTAATTATTTTATTATATGTTTAGTCTGCTTATAAATATTAAACAATAATTAAAGGCAATATATTGCATTATCATTTAAAATTATTTTGGTTTAAAATCACCTCAAGAAGCGTTCTAATTATCAGATTTCTGTCCAACTTTAGATTTTTAAAGCATTTTTCAGCGAAATGACTAACGTGGGATATGATTTAGATACGTCTGGTGGACTTATGCCGGTTAGTTTTGATGCCTTTTAAAAACTCGACGGGTCATATTTCTAGTATTATATTTTTGCAGTTGCCAAAGAGATCGTAACCAAACTTTAACTGACATCAGCCCTAGTTCAACTTAGTGATACCTTTATACATTTCAGCTCATTCGGGCGCTTATAAAGCCACCAGACGAAGAAGTGAATGTTCAAAAGCCTAAGAAATCACACCCATATTATAAGCGTCCTGGAAAAGGTCACAACCACGATTCTTGTGATGCTTGTGGAGAGGGAGGAGACCTTATATGCTGTGACCGCTGTCCAGCTAGTTTCCATCTTGGTTGCTAGTATGTATTATAATAAATAGAATATCTAGTTCAACTAACAGTCTACAGACTGTTACAGTAGTATATTGGTAGTAATAGTAATTTAAAAACCTCATTACAAACCACTATATAGCATGTTCAACTGCAGATCTTGAGGTTCAGGTTTATAAACAAAGGTGGGGTTGAAAAAATTTATTCCAATAGTGATGGCTCAGGCTTCACCTTGGGATGTTGACATTGTGAATGCTTTGAATAAACATGTAAAGATGTTGATCTTCTTGTTTACTCCTGTAGGTGTGTGTGTACATCCATCTCATTTGAGTCGAGAGATATGGAATAGTGAATACCTTATATTGTATAGTTTATACCATATTTTGCTGATATTATATTTTATTATGCTCAAGGATTTTCCTATTACAACCATTTTGAGAAATTTATTTACACCTTATTGCACATACAATAATTAAGACAATAATAATAATAAACTGAAAAATTATTAAATACTGCAATGGGCAGCCTTATAGCTACTAAGAGCTAGCTATTAACCTAAACTTGATATATCCAACTAAAAACAGAAGAAATGTCTAAAGTATGAAAATAAATGTACTGAATATAAAATGATTCTAGTGACCCACCATTGGATGAGACTGACATTCCATCAGGCTCATGGCTGTGTAAGCAGTGCACCGCAAATGATGAAAAGCCTGGCAGCACCCGGTCAAGCAGACCACAATCCCCTGTTGATGTTAAGAATGAATCAGAGAAAAAAACTAGGTGAATTTATGTGTATAAGATTTGGTTCACTGTCTTTAATTTCTAAGTTATGGTTCAAGAAGAATCATCGCTTTATCCATTATGTTTTTTTTCTAGGAATCTACGTAATAACCGCACAAACTCGAAAAAGAGTAAAGATGAGAGAGAAGAGGTTGAAGAAGAAAATAAAGAACCAGAAAAAGAGCTCACTCCAATGGAGATATTAGTCAAAGCTGCTCGTGTTATGAATCCACGTCAGTTTGATTTACCTCCAGAAATGAAGCAGCCATTTCCATTCCCTGGAACTGATAAGGGTATGTTGCAATTACTATTGTTTTAGTAATATAATACATTATCATAAAAACTAAAGAATTTTTTGTGCAACAACAATAATACAGCTAGGGTATGATCCTTTTTTTTTAAAGTTATAAATGTAAAATATCCTGGATGAATCTGAGGAATTTTATTCCTTCCTAACAAAATATCTACACTTTACACAATAAATTATCTGCCTATAAAGAAAAGTGAAAACAACATTTCATCACAGCTTAAGATGACATTCCATATTTTTAAGTTCCTAAAATTTGGTCTGCAGTCTAGATGTTAAAATAAAACATGAATATAAAACATTTTTTCGTAATAACTATATGTAATATGTGTTATTGCCTACTTTATCTAATTTAATAAAAAAAAATCCTTTTCCTGTGTTGCCTGGAAGAGATTGCTCGAAAGCGATAAGGCCGCCAGTTGCCCTCCTTTAAATTTAATCATGTTCAATTTTTATATTGTAATGCAACAAAGTGTAATTACATAAATAAATATCTGATTTTTGCCTCATTACACATTTGCTTAACTTGGACTACTATTTGACAATTGACATTGCTTAAATGACTTCTATAATCCAAATACATTGTTTTATAACAATGCTTTTTTTCAGAGGGAAGCAAGAATGGCAACGCATCACTAATGACAGTAGATTCCTCTGGTTGTGTCCCTCTTCCCGCCAAGACTTGTTATGTGTGCCAGTGGACTTGCAAGCTTGCACCATTGCTACAGTGTGATTATTGCCCTGCGTTATTTCATTTGGTAAGCATAATATATATTTTATTCTTTTTAATCACCATAAAAAGAAATTCTTTGTTAACTTGTGTTTTTTGGAATTAGGTAATCTGTTTAGGTTTCAAAGCTTGTTTGCTTAATATAAGGGTATCTTTGTAAATTTGTGTGTTTGTCCACAAATTTCTCAAAAACATGGAATATATTCCATATTTAAACATTGATTGAATTAAAATTTGGTTAGTTGATTTTGCTAACGGTGTTGGTCTAGTGGCTTCAGCGTGCGACTCTCTTCCCTGAGGTCGTAGGTTCGATCCCTGGCTGTACATCAATAGACTTTCTTTCTATGTGCGGCATTTTAACATTTTCTCGAACGGTGAAGGAAAACATCGTGAGGAAACCGTGATGTCTTACACCCAAAAAGTAGACGGCGTGTGTCAGGCCGTTGTAGCACCAGTGATTTATATTTTATTTCTTTTTTATTCTGATTTAGCTATATGAACAGTTTAGGAGTGGATATGTGTATTCTGTATAACTATATTATTACTTGTATTGGATTTGTTAAACTTTGTAGGATTGCCTGGACCCACCTTTGACTGCGTTGCCAACTGGCCGATGGATGTGCCCTAATCATGTGGAAAACTTTATTGTAAGTAATTCATTTAAATGTTAAATATGTTTTGAATTGAAACATTATTTTATTTCCTTGATCGAAGAAGAAAGATACAATATTAAAATTAAAATCGCTATTAAATCTATATAATATACGTACTATATAATATATTATTATACAATTTACGATTATATATATACGTACTCTACACTAGTATTATAAGTTTTATTTGGTTTTTTGAGAGAGATTTTTAAGAACCCTACTATTTTTTTTTATTATGTCCAAAATGCACCAAACAGTATTAAATAAAAATATAGGAATTATTTAATTTTGATTTGTCTACGATGACAAGCGATGTCTTCCAGGCGACTAAGAAATTACTTTGCGGAAATGCAAGTGCGAAGTATTTGATTTAAATAAATTATTTTTGATAAATTTATTGGTAGACCGATTTTTAAGGCAGTTTTGCCGCACACCACAACTATTTGGAATCAACTGCCCACTGAAGTTTTTCCGAACCAATTCGACTTAGGGTCCTTCAAGAAGGAGCGTACCAATTCTTGAAAGGCAAGCGCTTCCGAGCCTTCTGGCAATGTGAGTGTCTATGGTATCACTGAACATAGGATGAGCCTCTTGCCCGTTTGTTCTATAAAAAAGACCGTTAAGTATTTAGACATAGACATAACATTTACTACTAACAAAACACACACACAGAAACACACAAAATAACAATTATCAAAGAAAAAAATAAAAACGAATAAGAGATATTTTTTTTTAAGAAGGTAAAAAGAGTGGCGGAGAGAGTTTGCCAGTTCTTCTCTTCCGTTCTACGCCCTTGATTTGAGAACTGTGCTGAGTTGAGTAAAGCATTTAATATATATTTCTTTTTTGACGTTCATAAGTGTACATTGTGTTACCTATATGAATAAATGATTTTTGACTTTTGTACGTTTTAGCTGTGGTTGTAACTGGCCCTGGCTGAGCATTATGCTGTGGAGCAGACGTGTTCCACAGCGCTGGTCATTCTGCCAGAGGCAACAACAGCTAGTTTGCGCCTCAGACACAAAAAAAGAAAAATAATATAATAATACTTATATATTTGTGGATATTATTTTTTCCAGGATTGGAAGCTGGTATCGTCAATATCGGCAGTGGAACGAGCGGCTCTTTGGGACAGATTCGGAGCCCCCGTAGACCAGCACGCCGTGAAAGTGGACTTTATACGACGCGCGAGGCTCCAGAGACATCGGTACGTATATTTGGCTATTTGACCAGACCATTACTATATTAATATTTGAGCAGTGTTGGCCTAGTGGATTCGTGCGACTCGATTTGAGAAATAGATATGTTAACAACAAAATATAAACGATTTTAAAACAAATGGTGACTTTCACCACGCGAAACAGAACTAATCTAAGGGCACGAACAATCAGGCTCCAGAAGATAAACCATAGCTTATATTACCCCCAAGCGAAATTGGAGAATTATCACCAAATAAACTCAAAAATCTCGTTAAACGTAAATTAATCAATAAAGCTTTTTATACATTTTAAAATACTTAAATGATCGTAATGATTGATTTGCTCCAGTTCAAACAATTTGTATAACTCAAAACTTGGCGATGAAAAAGAATGACACCCTTTGCGAACTGGTAGTAAATGTAAATTTAGAATCAATTTAACATCTTTTCTGTTGACTTTCATTAGTGTACTTGGTAACCTATATGAATAAAGTTTACTTGAGTTTGAAGAATGCTGCTACATCGTCGATTCGATTAATGTTCCACATTTATTATTAATAACACAGCCTATTATATAACTTATAAACGGATTAAAGTATTGTATATCAACACAAAATCTAACAAAGACACGTTTATAACAACTCTTAGCTTCACTCTTAAATACATGCGCACACGCACCCATTCACACATACTTTATCTAATATATAAAATTCTTGTGTCGCGGTGTTTGTAGTTAAACTCCTCCGAAACGGCTTGACCGATTCTCATGAAATTTTGTGTGCTTATTGGGTATGTCTGAGAATCGGACAACATCTATTTTTCATCCCCCTAATGGTTAAGGGGTAACCCCTAAATTATTTTTTTTAATTTTTAGATAAATTACTTATTTTTTTATGATACAGCATTAAAAAATACATACAACCCCTAATTTTCACCCCTCTACGATCAACTCCTATTTTTTATTATAAATGATAAACATGGCAAAATGACGTTTGCCGGATCAGCTAGTGTCTTATAAGACTTGTTTGATTAGTTGTAACACTAAGGGTCTGTTTCACAATGTACGGATAAGTTCTACGTAACTTCCAAATTAGCTATTTATTACTTATTGGTAGGATAAATACTATTGTTGCGTTTCACGACTGTCAGATAGCGCTATTCGTCACGTAAAGTCCATCATAAGTTATGAGTCCAATGAATGTCTAATAGTACAATTTATCATCCAAATAATTTATGTGTTGCATAGCGATTTGGTAACTTTATCCATACATTGTGAAACAGACCCTAAACCTACTTTTTGTCAAAAAGTTGTTTTAAACATGTACAATGTAACTAAGTAACCCACTCAGGGACTCCCTAATGTGGAGGCTAGCGATAGATGAATTTTGTCACAACCTATTGTCATGAATAAAGTTTTTGTTATTATTATTTACTTCATTGGTAACCGTCGGTTAGTATGAGCTTTATCTAGTAAATGTGTTTAGCGTGCCCATGGGCGTCCGCGGTCGCGTAGTCGTCCCCCGCTGCGTACGCGCTCACTACAGACGCCCCCCGCCCTTGTTGCCTTCGCGGAGAGAGCATGTGCGATGTCGCAAAGGTATTATTTTATTATTAATTGAAGCATAATTATCCAACGTCAACGTATCTTACAGTTTTAATTATATAATTTGAGTAAACATTAGCCTTATTTATATTTTACTTATTAAAAAATTATTTCAGTTCTGAAAAATCGGATGCCCTCGGAATCGGAATCCGAAGAAGACGAACCAAATACAAAGCATAAGATTTGTCTCAACAACGATTGCTCTCCCGAGGATTGTGAAAAGCCTAAACTGAGTGGAGTCACTGATAAAGATGCTGTTGAGGATCTGAAGGCTATTGAGGGTGATGAGGTAATGTTTTCATATAAAAAAATACACAATATTTGACGACTCATTGGTCTAGTGGTTAGTACCTCTGACTGCGAATCCATGGGTCCCGGGTTCGATCCCCGGCTGAGACGAACATCGATGTGATGAGCATTTGGTGTTGTGCTTAGGTCACGGGTGTTAAAATATGTATTTATATGTCTATCTATCTATAATATGTATGTATAGCCGTTGCCTAGTACCCATAATACAAGCTTCACCAGCTTAGCATGGGACTAGGTCAATTGGTGTGAATTGTCTTAAAAAAAAAATTGTGCGTGTACTAGGTGTACACACGTAAGAAGTGAAACTTCTTTATGATCTTATTTTTCGAAAAATGATCTACTATATGCAACTTTACAGAAATTCGATAAATTAAATAAAGTTTAACAAAAGGCTTTTATTATCATAGACATGAATACAAATATTTCATTTTACCTTATTACTACAAAGATTATTATAGAATTTCATTAATTGTAATAGAATTATTACTATCATTGAAAAACGTGACGATTTGCTACAAAATTTCTCCCATACGTCGATAAAGAAGTTTCATTCCAACGCCGATAAAGAAGTTTGACTTCAAAAAGCAACATGGCGCGTAACCGAAAAATGTGACGCGTAACGAAAAAATGTTACACTAAATTTTTTTCCAACCTCGATAAAGAAGTTTCACTTCAAAAACCTCCTTTGGTACTTTTTAAATTGGTTAAAAATTAAATATATGTGCAATCTTGTCCACTGCCAAAAGTTTAAGAGATCCGACTGCAGGATTAGTTCGCTCATCGATTATTTGCTATTTTTATTTTTATGTATATTTATAATTAGGAGAACGTATATCTACCAAGGTGCCTATCAAAATTTGACCGCTATTATTTTTAATGAATTTTGAATTGATTTTCGGGAAAACATTTCGTTCACTTGTAATTTAAATGAAATAAGTATAATAGTTCCGACGAATTCTGGTTTTTGTAGTCCTAACAGCACGCGGCCGCCCCGATCTTTTCTGGTCTTCGACAGACGAAGTGTTGTTGTATCTGTTGTACGATATACGAACATACGGCTGATACCAAGCTTTTGAAGTGACTGGAATATGACCGATGTGACCCATCCCCACTTGCTACCCCCTACCTATTCCCCCCCTCCCCATATTGTTCTTTGATAACGGACACGAAAGAATATGTGAAATGGCGCGAAAGATATTTTTAAAATAATATACTTGTATGAAATTCAAAATAATTAAGTAAATAAGATTAAAGTGAAATAATCTTACTAAAATTTAATTTAAAACATTTTAGGCGCCAAAATCCGAAGACAAATCATCCGATTCCGATATCGATCCGGAATATTTGCTGCGTGTGAAACGTCGCAAGCCCCGGGATTCGAGTCCCAGCAAAAAACGGGAAAAACTTAAACTGCGAGCCGGAACAGATGTCGAGGAGCTGTTGGCGGCCGTTCAGAAGCATTTGGATAAGTTGGACGAGCGATTGGTTAGAGTTTTGGCTTGGCAACGATTGCAAGAGGTGAGTCTATTATGTACGTGATGTATGTACGCAAATATTTCGTACAAACGTACTTCTTTATTAATATAGAATAAATAATTCTACGTACTAATATAAAACTAAAATATATATTTATACAATATGTTGGCATACACCTATTGATTTATTATCAAGTAAAATATCAATTCCACCAAGTTGTTTTTGTAAGTACCCTCTAAATAATGTACTACCCTCCGTTTCAGGTGGCTTTAGGCGAACGAGCCGCCGGTAGATGGCGCTCTTCAACAGACGAACTCAGTACGAAGGCTGCGGCGGCCATTAAACACGTGGAAAGGTCACAACTCGCTAAACACGGGTTGAGGTGTACCACATTACCCTCGGAATTGCTGGCCTCAGCTGACAGGGAGAGGATCGCTTCGATAGGTGCATTTACAGCTTTTGCCAAAAATATATAATAATAATAATTATGCCTCATTTATTGCTTGAAACATTCATCCATATTTACACAAGATTCACACACTTAAGATTTGGCACAAACTGGCCAAATCTTTAAGATTGTTAACCCAAATTTAATTTATTTGCAATATTTATTTTGCTGTACATGGTTAAAAGTTTAAAACATAGTGAAATGTATATTTTCCATTTCAAAAATTTAAATCTCGTCGATCCAGGAATCGTACACTTTGGTCCTTCGAGCCGGACACTACTTTTAACGAAGTGTTTCTTCGATAAAATTTATGCACGCAAGGAATATTAAAACACTTTGTTTTATTTATTTGTATGTGTTAGAATATGTATTTGGGAACGCAATAAATTTTTAGTTCCTAATTTTATCACGAAAGGTCTTTTTATTGCACCCTCGTACGTTAGTTACTTAGTTATTGTATAATTATAGTTTCATTATTAATCTTAATATATTTAAATTACGTGTCACATTGTTTGTCCGCTATGGACTCCTAAACTACCGAACCGATATCAATCAAATTTGCACACCGTGTGCAGTTTGATCTAACTTAAAAGATAGGATAGCTTACATCTCAATTTACCTGAATATTATTTTATTGCAAATTATTTGTTTATTATTTGATAGTCACAATTCTAACAGATGGCGCTGTGTTGAAAGTACCAACGTTTCACATAAGCTACAATTTAATGGCATAACCACCAATAAAGCATGGTGGTCCCCATGACTGGTGTTCTCCTACCGTTTCCCTTGAATAGTTTACTACTATGTAATATAACAAAAACCTTAGCCACAGCAACGCTTGGCCGGTCTGCTAGTATATATATATTTATAATTGTTAGACCAAAGCGTGTTCTGGAGCAAATTATTAAATTTCTAATGACTGCTTGATTATCATATTTCAGTTTGGGGATCGCCGCCCGCCCTGACCTCCGCCCAGACCAAGAATAACGCCTTGGAGGCCGCTCTTAAAAGGATGCTGGCCTGCGTCACCAGGCTGTTCCACACCGAGTAAGATTTTAAATATTTTTATATAATCTCATTCGGTAATATTCTAATTATGAATTGAAATACAGACCTTTATTGGCATATTTTATTTTATACTTCTTTAAGAAAATTAAAAAATTAAATTAAAGCATTATTTTCCTAACAAAACTGCTTTAAAATATTTTTTTAATTATTAAAGTACAATGTGTCCCGACCAAGGAGGTTTCAATTCAATTTAAGTACACATAATCTGTGGTGAGCGCGTGGTTCCGAGCCAATAGACCAATAACAGACTTTTCATTTTGGCGCTATTTCGTACATACGAAATTTTGTAATATTTTGTTGGATAAAACTTTAGTAGCAAAAATGTCAAGCAACACCGACGATAGCGATGAAAATTGACATTCTAGAAACAGCTACGAAACTGACGAATAGTCTTTTGCCAGAAAAATCAAGAAAAGCGTACGACAATTGTTACCAAGACTTTATGACTTGAAAACCTGTAGCCATGAGATTAAATAATTAGTGTATGCAACTGCATATAATTAGGTATTAAAAAACTCGTGTAATCTTATTAAAACTACACTCATGTTTTAATACCCTCTATTATAAGTGGCGTATGATTTGCTATTTTAAAAGAGTATCGAGAGTTTTTTACGCCGGCTTTTTCTCTCGGCCTACACCCTCTGTCTTTGCCGATGAGTAGGGATATCTACCTATTCAAATTTAATGACGTGGAATAAGTGATACCTGTATCTTATATTCAATAATAAACATATTTTTTTATACTAGCCGTTTCCCGCCCGCTTCGCTGGGCGAATTAAAATAAGAAATAAATAAAATTTTATGTTTCATTATATTTTTTTTTCAAATTTTTATTATTACTTTATAATATATATATATATACATATATATATATAGAAGATATAGATGACAGTTGCATAAACCTGAATTTTCGCAAAGTTGTGTGTTAAAGAAGTCATTTAAATTCCAGCAAAGCGGGTGACGTCACCTTGGGTGCCTCTATCCCGATGCGTCTGTCATCCCTCTCCATCGGGAGCGACGGTTCCTGTGGGCTTCAGCTGGAGGCCAATTGCAGACACGTGTCTGGGAGACATGCTGTCATATTTCGGGATGAGGTACTGAACTATCAAATGTCTGTAGGAAAAGAGATTTTTCTCTTCCTTTTGTAAACCTTTTTGTATATATTATGTATTCCATAATTGGCTTAGTTTAGTATAATTGTTTTTTGTTATAATATAATTTAAAATAGGGATGCATCGATACGCCATTTTGACGATACGATACCGATACTCTTATAGAAATATCGCCGATACCGATATTAACGCTTATTAAGGTAAAATATAAACAGTCACACACTTTGAATAAGATTAAAGTTTTAGTAAATAAAATTAAGAGTAGTTAGTTAAATTAAAATAAATAACTCTTAATAATTAAAATTAACATTGATAAGATTTTTGTAATTCTGTATTTGATTTATTACGTAATAAATAAATAAAGTAAATTTAAGTTAAACCCACTAATGTAGCTTACTCTTGCAAATATATTTTTAAGTATTAAGATTACTGTTGACCTATAATGACGTTTAAATTTATTTATAACTATGGACTTTTATGGACTGAAATGAAAATAACAAATTTTTAATTGTAATGCAGTGATGTCAATCAATCCAAAAACAGATTTTTGATTGACTTATAAACGTTACTTAGTTGATATATTGTTTAAAACGTTTACTGGTGTATGATTAGACTGCACTCTTAATGTAACGATCACTTAGAAAATGAGGGTAGGCTTATTTGAATCTACCCTCTTAACTTGCAATAATTAATAAACCAGAATTTAGCTAAGAATATTGAATATCCTCTTCAGGTGTCGGGCCACTTTGAGCTGATCAACTATTCGGAATGGGGTTCCGTAGTGAACGGAGTGATGTACTCGTGTGCCACGCCCCTCTACTCCGCTGCAGAGGATACTCGACCGGAGCAATTGAAACACCTCGCTGACAACAAACGAACCGAGAAGAGGTTTTATTCATATTTTAATTTATTTTTGTGACTATTTGTTCTACCGTCACATAGTTTTTAATATATAAATAAAATTAAAATTTGGTGAATAATTGAAATCTCATATATAAGCAGTCTGTTTCGGCTTTACCCGGATATTTTTTTTATATTTTGGAAATTTCTAATCGTAAAAGAATTTTGAAAATTGGTTTAGTGGTTTTTGAGTTTGTTATAAACAATTAGTATAAAAGTATTGCTTATTATGCATACTTGATTTTTAAACGAATATATAAAAATGCTTCCGTACTTCTAAATACGTTCAAAATTTCAGATTAAAAGCTGCTCTAACTGAACCGACCCACGGAGAGCAAACGTGCGCTTGCCCCATCCGCCCCCCGGACGGCCGTGGGGCGTGGGAGGGATCCGCGTTGGTGCCCCACGGGGCCCTACTTCAGTTCGGATGCCAGCAATACGTGTTCAGCATCGCGGAGCCCAGACCCTTTCCTTACGAACAGCCGATTGAAGAACCAGCTTTGTAAATTAAATTACGGATTCAAATTTTAACACCTTTGAGTGTAAGGTACAACCTTCTTAGGTCTGGGCCTCAAATTGTATCTATGTCATGATTTGTCAATCTAATAGTCAAGTAGGTGATCAGCCTCCTATGCCTGACTGTCGGTCATGTCAGAACAGATTACTTAGTTACAGATACCGGCAAACTTCTTGAGCATTAAACAATGGAGTGGGGGCGAGACACAACGCAAACTGATTTACCAATCACGCGATCGACATGTCACTCCCGCCGCCCCCCTCCCAGTGATACCTAAAAATCTCTTCTGCGCAGGCAAGGACATTTGTTGAAGATGTTTGCCGGTATCTGTAACATATTGCTTAAAAGTTAAAACCGTTACTGGTGTATGATTAGATAGTGCACTCTTATATAAATGACTTATAAAATGAGGGTAGGCTTATTTTAATCTACCCTCCTCCTCATGTTTTCCTTCACCGTTCGAGCAAATGTTAAATGCGCACATAGAAAGAAATTCCATTGGTGCACAGCCGGGGATCGAACTTACGACCTATGTTGGCTTGTTGAAATTTTACGGTAATTAATTTACATTAGCTGATTATATAATATGAATGTATAGCGATTTCGCGTCTATGTGTTAAATAAGCGTATACACATGTGTGTAGCTTAATTTAGTACATGTTTTAATAAACAAAAAATGTATTTTTAATATGTAAGTGCCCTTTGAAAAATTATTTTTAACTTCGATTTAAGGGGCTGTTGAAAATTGATGTCATTTTGAGGGTAGTTTTGGCGAAGTAAGACATATTTGTACCCTAATTGTCGGTTTAAGGTATGTTTCCACGCGATGTTTTCTTTCTTACGACCGATTGTTAATTGCGCACAAAAGTCCATTGGTTCAAACGCACGACCTCAGGGTCGAGAGGCGCACGCGCAGGCCAAACTCACGCATCGTGGTTAAGTTGCTCGTAGGTTTTTCGTATGTGATTGTTTAATATTTAATTAAACATCATAGCATCTGTTTGTATTTAGTTTAATATTTTCAATAAAAAGTGATAAGAATTGGTGTTTTATTTCATTCTAAGTTAAGATTTTCTCGCAATTCCAATAAAATGTTTCAATTTATTTACCAATACCCATATACATACTGTTACAAACAACGAACAATAGTTTCAAAAAAATATAAAGACTTTCACCAGTATAATACGGGAAATAGAACTAATCTGAGTGTAAAACCAATCAGACTCCAAAAGATAAACCACTACTTATATGGAAATTGTAATCGTTTTTACAACAAACTCCCAAGCGAGAGAATTATCACTAAATAAATTCAAAGCCCTCATACGAAAATTAATCAATAAAGATTTTCATAAATTTGAAGAATACTTAAATGATCCTAATCCTTGGGATTGATTTGCTCCAGTTTAAACAATTTGTATGACAATACTTGGCGATTAAAAAGAGTGGCGGAAAGTTTCTTGCTAGTTCTTCTTACCCGCTCGCCCCTTGACTTGCGAACTGTTAGTTAATGTAAATTTACAATTAATTTAACTTCTTTCTGACAATTCATAAGTGTACTTGTTTACCTACATGAATAAAGATATTTTGAGTTTAGAAAGCTGGTAAACGAAGCTGTTTTAACATTTGCGAACTTGCAGCAGCCGCTATTCTATGATTGGCAACCTCGCCTAGATGTCAGTGCGTAGGGCGGCTTTTATAAGCGGCATCTCACGATGGTTTAATATGTTGAATTATTAGGTTATCTTATTTTGATACAGCATGTGACAGCCAACGTCAAAACTTTTAACTACCATGCATTTACAGCTTATATATAGCAATGGTTTGCTTTTTGTAAAACGTTACGATGCGGGGCGGGGATTGAATTACGCGTTATTGTTGCCACACATTAGTATATAGATTATATTACGATTATATTTTTCAATTTAATTATTTTTCCTTGCTTTAAGGTACACCTTAAATATAATTTTGTATCCATTGTAAGTGTAAACATATGCGGGTATATCATAAACTTTTTGATTAAATTTGATACATTTTAGTCTATAGTTATTTTGGGCTGGTTAGTAGTTGTTGCCCCACATATCTTTATGGTGCTCTGGCGGTATTGTTTGTACCGTGTGAGCTCCTCAAAAATGGTTGAGCTGCATGAGCTATTCAGGGCATGCTAGCCGTCTTATTCAGATCGATCTGGTTCTTTCTTCCAAAGACCAGTCCAGTAAATTACTCTGCATTTGTTTACACCAACTTATTAATTTATTATTGTATTATCTGGACTATAAAAGAGACAAGACCCCTGATTTGTTTCTGACATTTCTTCTCAGGGCAGTCAGTTAGGAAATGTGACTTCATCTATTTAGGAAGACATTGTAAAAGTGATTTATATAGTCCTACTTGCAAGAATAAACTATTTCATTTCATTTCAGTAACTTTTAGGTATAAAGAGTCACTAAGTGGTCACGAAACATTTTACTATACAAAACAGTACAGAAAAACGTTACGGCGCGATACATTTTTCCAATAATGTCCAAAAATTACGTGACGTCATACTTGAACGCTCCCATATTTAAATAAACTTTATTGAACTAGATAATTCGTTATAATAAAACTTTCAATGTATTAAATACCTTTTTTCTAAAATTTTTATCTTGTTACGCCAAAGAATTTGTAAAACTTCTAACGCGTTAGTACACATTTGAGAAAAATTTAAATACATACACGTTTCGATTGCTTTTCAACTAACGTATGTAAATATAATCTAGCGTTTTTTTCTATTGAATTTGAAATAATTTAGCTAAATTTTCTTTTAAAACATTTATGCTTATCATAAAAAATTTAACCTTTAAGGCTATGAAAACTTTAAATGAATAAAAACAATATTTATTTGGAAAAGATTTTATTTAAACTGTTGAGAAATGTTTCATTGCCATACATTGGACTTAATTCCTTAAAAATATTATGTAGAAGCACCTTTTTATTTTCGAGTTTTCAATTATTTCCTTGATTGTTTGCCTGTAAAATAAATATACTGATGAAAAACAACTCATTAGATATTATTTAAAAATGTGTTCAATACCGAGGTCATGTCAGTGTAATAATGTTAATAAAGCAAAGCTTTCCACTCAAAATTCTTACCGATTTAAAACAAACATTAAAAATTGAGGTATAAGTTTAACCTGTATGCATATTTGTCCACAAATTCATCGGAAACTTAGTCATATTGAAATATTTTTTTGGAATCCTTTTGGATTATAACTTTTTAGTTATAATTTAACTTAGTTATACAGTATACTTCAACAGTTCAAGTTTCACAAAAAATCACTTAACAGTTTTTAAGATAGTATTACAGCTATTTGAAGTCAGTTTAATTTTTTTAATTACTTTTATAACAATTATATATTACCTCTGATCACTCATCACCATCATTCTCCGGATCGGGTTCATCAAAATCTCTAACTTTCACATCAGCATCTTCGCCAAACTGAATTATATTGTCAATGGTGATCAAAATGTTGTCTATGCTTTCTTCATCTTTGATATTAAGCGGGTAAAATCTAACCAAGCTAAAGTTTTCAATAACTTCACCGATTGCCTCTGTTAATTTTGCGTATTTTTCGTGCCACCGTGAATTAACGTTTCGCATATCTGCTAACAATACGTGTGGGTCTGGGTCTAAGTAACTGAAAATGTAAAACAAATATTTTATAGCAAATATAAATAATTCAAAAATCATTTCATCATATAGGTACACTTATGATTGTCAAAAAAAAATGAAATGTATATATATATATATATATATATATATAGCGAGATGAGCCTAACAAGAAACCCATTTTAGTGGGTGCATTGCCAGCCTTTGGAGGAGGACATTCTTTCATTAAACAATTAGAGGTTGTATCTCTCAGGGCAGACCCCCACTAGTAGCTGACTCCACTGTTTGCTAGTTTTCTGAACTAATTTAGCATTGTTGTCTAAAAAAGTAAAAAATTATTTATTATATATCTATATTGTATTGGTCAAATGGTAGCAACGCAATAACAGTAACATAAATATTTAAAAAATATAAAATTTTATTATATATATACTGCTCAAAACAATTAGCGGAACAAGATTTTTCTCCTTTCTATTGCTTAAACTAAAATTAGATTTAAATTAACTTGTACCTAGATCATTTCCTAGATAACGCATAGTTCGACCCTCTTCAAGCAAAGCGATAGCTCGGGAGACATGCAATTCAGTCAGATCTGGCATTATGACCTAAACTCACTCGCTTCAATGAATAACAATACTCAAAAGGCTCACTTCAATTTCTATTTAATACTCAAAAGATTGAAAAAAACTACTTAAAATGTGTTTTCTGTGATTAGAAAGTAATGAAAATTCAAAGACGTCACTTTGTTTTTCGTCTACAATGCACATTTTAATTTTTTTTTTAATAAAAAAAATACAAATTGAATATTTTTATTAATTGTAGTAATTAACAAATTAACAAGGTAAAAAATAGCGTACAAGTTAATTTATATCTAATTTTAGTTTAAGCAATAGAAAGGAGAAAAATCTTGTTCTGCTAATTGTTTTGAGCAGTATATTACTTTACGTAAAATAAATGTTCTTACTTATCTAATTGTTTCCTCGCTGATTTACTAAGGAGGTCCATTTTAGTTAAAATGTTAACATGAGGTAATTCTAAATTCACCATTACACTAAGGGCCGCCATTGTTCCTAAGAAATATTAAAATTTATAATTACATCTACTTATTTATTGAAGCTGTAACTTTAATATATTTTTGCTAGCTTGATTATAAATGCTAAAAAATATAATTTTTTTACTTATATAATAAAGCAAGAAAGTGCTTTTAGATCAAAACAATTTTTAACTTTTCTTTCAGGGAAGTAGGTCCAGATCTTAGATAGATAAACAGATGAGTAATCAATATAGCATCAACCTATCAATATTTTATTTTGATAGGTTACTACTACAACTACCATTGTTACCTTACATTCTGAGTTCTACAATATCCTAAACAACAGTTTGACTTAATCATTTAAGCTTAATTACCTGACAAGAACTTAGCCCCATCAACCATAAACTGTGAATCAATCATGAACACAACACATATCCTAAAGTTCCACTTCTCAAGCTGATCAACCAGTTTTTTAATGACAGGTAAGTGTGTATAGAGTTCTATTTGACCTGGACAGTCAAACAGTATATAGTCATCATCCACATCTCCCAACTGCTCTTCTAGCCAGTCACAGTTTTCTAGTAAAGTTCTGAAATTAACAGTTAAAATATAATAGAACATGCAGTTTAACAAATTTAAATTTGTTCATATAATTAGACCCCATTTAAAAATATATTAGGCATATGTAATTACTACTGTTAATTGAATAATCACTCAAATATTTTTATTGATGTAGTTCCTGGAAAATAACTTTGCTAGACTAGTTTAATGGTACCACTTTAAAAAATCAGATCTACTTACTCCATACAAAAAACAAGTCCACCATTAGGCCCAAACTGTAGTTCTTCATCCTCCATAGCATCATCCAGATGAATCAATTCTCGGATATCCACAAGTGGCTGATAGTCAAAATGTTCTGCTGCCGGATCTAAGTTCACTACTTCTACAATTCTCTTTGAATCCATTGCATGTTTCAAGATTGTTGAGCAGTAAGTGGACTGAAATTTTATTGGCATAGTCAGTGACACTGTAATCATCATAGTCCTCCACTCAGGACTTCATCCAAAGCAAAGAACTTGCAAAACCCATTTGTGATTATAAAATATTTCCCAATAACACCATGATATTGCATTCAAAAGTTTTTTGTTTAATTTAAAAATTATTATGTTTATAACAACGAAATATACTTACTTTTCCACTACCTGCTGGGCCTACAACTAACTGTGCATACCGCATATTTTCAAGCTTATACTTTATAAAAAAACAAAGCTTATAATCTTAACATTAACATAAAAACAGCGGTAAAAATTAGGTTATACGCACTATTTACATTCTCTCACGTCGAAAATTTAACTGAAATATTAAAGTTTTTAATGTGGACAATTTTTCTGACTATTGCAAAATAAATATTATTCTTAACAATATCAACTATTAAACATCAAAAACTATTAGTTAATCACAATGTTTTTAAGAATGTATTTTGAATTTTGATTTTAAAAGTTAGTTAGTTTTGATTAGTACTTAGTGAGAACTGAGAAATGAGAACTATGTCAAATGTGTCTGGCAATTGACAAAATGTCATATATAGATAATCATTTATCACATACTAGGGATATAAATACATATGTTAATTAAAAGATTTAAAAAAAGTACTCACTATCAATAACACTGGCACGTAAAAAAATATTATATAGTAGAGATCCAGGAGTATTGTTATTTTTTCACTGTCAAATATATTGGTTTTACGATTTGCAAGCGTATTAAAACAAAAAAACAAGAATTATAAGTGATAATGCCTTCTATTGGAATTGATTTGGGAACTACGTATTCTTGTGTTGGGGTGTGGCAGCATGGAAATGTAGATATTATAGCTAATGACCAAGGTAATAGAACTACCCCTTCTTACGTAGCTTTTACAGATACTGAGCGACTGATAGGTGATGCAGCGAAAAATCAAGTAGCCCTTAACCCGAGCAACACTATTTTTGACGCAAAACGCCTTATTGGCCGCAAATTCGACGATCCAAAGATTCAACAAGATATTAAGCATTGGCCTTTCAAAGTAATAAACGATGCAGGTAAGCCCAAACTTCAAGTAACTTACAAAGGTCAGACGAAAAAGTTCACTCCTGAAGAAATTAGTAGCATGGTTCTTATAAAAATGAAAGAAATCGCTCAAAACTACCTCGGAACATCAGTCAATAGTGCAGTCATAACAGTCCCTGCCTATTTTAATGACTCGCAGAGGCAAGCCACTAAAGATGCTGGTTCCATTGCTGGTCTAAACGTTCTTCGTATTATTAACGAACCAACAGCTGCTGCTTTGGCATATGGGTTAGATAAAAACTTAAAGGGTGAGAAAAATGTCCTTATATTTGATTTAGGCGGCGGTACTTTTGATGTTTCTATACTTACAATCGATGAAGGTTCTCTGTTTGAAGTTAAAGCTACAGCAGGCGACACACACTTGGGTGGAGAAGATTTTGATAATAGACTTGTTAATTTCTTAGCTGATGAATTTAAAAGGAAACATAAAAAAGATTTACGGACTAACCCTAAAGCCTTACGCCGTTTAAGGACAGCTGCTGAGAGAACAAAACGTACTTTGTCGTCTAGCACTGAAGCTAGTATTGAAATAGATGCGTTATATGAAGGCATAGATTTCTTCTCAAAAATATCAAGAGCACGTTTTGAAGAGTTGAACGCAGACCTGTTCCGTATAACCCTTGAACCGGTAGAGAAAGCATTAAAAGATGCTAAACTGGACAAGAATGTCATTGACGATATTGTCATGGTCGGAGGTTCAACTAGGATTCCAAAAATTCAAAATTTATTGCAAAATTTCTTCAATGGAAAGAAGCTCAATATGTCTATTAACCCTGATGAGGCTGTGGCTTATGGGGCAGCAGTTCAAGCAGCAATATTAAGCGGAGAGAAACACTCAAAGATAAAAGACGTCTTACTAGTTGACGTTACGCCCTTGTCCTTGGGTATTGAGACTGCAGGTGGAGTTATGACGAAGATTGTCGAACGTAACGCAAAGATACCCTGCAAGCATTCTCAAATATTCACTACTTACTCGGATAATCAACCAGCAGTATCTATCCAAGTTTACGAAGGTGAACGTGCCCTTACTAAAGACAACAATCTGTTAGGCACTTTTGACCTGACTGGGATTCCACCAGTTCCACGTGGAGTGCCACAAATTGATGTATCGTTCGACATGGATGCTAATGGAATACTTAACGTTACAGCAAAGGAAAATAGTACTGGTAAAAGTAAGAATATTGTTATAAAGAACGATAAGGGAAGGCTTTCTCAAGCGGATATAGAACGTATGTTAGCTGATGCAGAAAGATACAAAGATGACGATGATCGTCAAAGAGAGAAGGTTTCTGCTAGACATAAGCTAGAAGGTTACCTTTTTGGCGTGAAACAGGCTTTAGATGAGGCAGGCAATAAGCTGGGGGCTGCAGAAAGTTCAAAAGGCAGGAAAGTATGTGAAGAGGCTTTGGCATGGTTGGATAAGAACTCTTTGGCAGAAAAAGACGAATTTGAAAATAAATTACAAGAAGTGACAGCTGTCTGTGGACCTCTGATGAAAAAATTACACGGTGCTGGTGTTAAATCTACAAACTCAGGTGGTAAAGATGGCCCGGTGATTGAAGAAGTCGATTAATTTACATTTATTTATAACACTTTCAGTTAACTGTTTAATTCTTGTTTTATTTCGTGTTATGTTTCATATATTTTATTATAATTAATTATTATATATTGATCTTTCAATAGCAATGAAATATTAATAATAAATAAAGTACATAATAATTATATCTTTGATTTAATTACTGATAGATTCAATTTCATTATAAAGTGTTAAAATACGAAGTAGCAAGTTATTGCTAACGCAATTACACCAGGCGTTAAATAAATACCAACATTGATTAGCAATTTCTTTATTTTAATTCAATAACTTTAGAAATTGTTCGGAAAGAAGACAATGTTTTCAGCATCATTAATATTATGATATGAACAATAATAATTACCACTATAATTTATCACTATATTATAATTTATAATGGATATCTAATGATTCCTATTCCCTACATATACACGGTATATTAGACCCAACGTCACCTCAACAAATTAATACAAAATATTATGGCCGTTCTAGAATATTCTGGATGCATTAAGCCTTTCCAATACAATGATTTACAAAAAGTTGTTTTCACATAAAACGTGTTAATTTTAAAACGAAATAATCTTATGTGCGTTTTTGCATCACAAAATATTCAGGCGTCCCATTTCAACAATAATTATTATAAATTCTGTAAATATTCAATAGAAAGCAAGCCACTTCAAAAATATAAACGAAAAGCAACGTGAATATATAATATTTAAAATTAAACTCTGTTCTTCACGAAATAAACAATTCGTTTACTGTTAGACAGCCTATGTCACCGAATATTGACTATTATACCTAAACTTACACTACTTATCGCCATATTAACATCGATATGTATGGAGTTGGTAATACCAAAGTAATACTAGAAAATGAAAATTGCAAAGTCATTAAAAATTCAATAAAATTGGGGACCTAACGCTATCAAGAATTTGGTTTCAACATTGTCAAAAGTTAAAAATTTTCTCATTAACCCAATGTTCTATTTGTTTCACTAAACACGATTGGCACGAAGTTGGTTTACGGTTTTTTTTACTTGAATAAAATTGTCCGTTAACTTAAAAAAAAGATCCAGTACCAAAGTTGTCTAGTAAAATATATAGATGTCGTTATTATAACCCCGCTTACGTATTTTGGGTTGCTATTATCTAAACTATTTTGCTACCTAAATGTGGCGTTTTATTTACACATAAACCCATATATACACTGATGCAAGGGGTACGGTTCCCGATTCAATATACACGTTAATCTAATTACGAGAAAACGGGGAAAATAAAAGAAAACAAAAATTCAAAATAAGATTAAAAGCAAATTTATTGCTAAAATAAAATAAAACTATAACCGCAAGCAATACACTTTTGCTTCGTAATTTGTGTTTTTATTTGTACGTCATTTTATAAAAAAATCACCGAGTCACCGATGCGGAGTTCTCATAGAATTGTGACACTTTGAGCTAAAATTAAATAAACGTAGAAAAACATATTTGTATAAAATAAACATCCATAATTTAAAAGTAACCCGATTATATTTTTAACCTCACCGGTCTATAAACATAATAATACTTTCACTGGGAGTCAGCGTACTTAAATTTACATCTGATTGCACTTTAAAATTTATTTAACAATAAAACGACCTCTATCTTAATTTATCGGCAACGATATCTTACACTTAGTCATAGCTATCCTACGTACATATATACAGACGTTTATATTTGGTATTTTTATTTACAACAATCGAATCGAAACTATAATACTTAAGCCGTAATTCACTTTGTACCTCGGTACGTAATACATATAAAATTAAAGCGAAATGCAAGTTTTTGTATCGTAAGTTCTGCTTCACTCGGACCCGTTTCAACACTCACTAGGAGTCACTTCACTTCACTTCACTTCACTCTAGTACTCCCACCGATCGTCCTCTGTTTCAGTTTTTATCTTGTCCTCCGCAAGCACCTCCGGGGACTCCCTCGTGAGGGGCGAGGGGGCCGGGGCGAGGGTGGGGGACGTGTTCTCTCTGGGGGCGGGCGAAGGCTCTATGCGGACCGTCTCCTCCGCCTCCCGTCTGAAGTCGTCGCTGCGCATGACGCAGACGCCGTTGATGATGACTTCGTCCGGGTTCCGGGGCTTCTCGTCTTGCCAGTCGGGGTTGACCCACTGCGGCGCGGCAGGCTTCCTCCGACTCGACCGCGCCGGGGTCGACGTCGCCTTTGGCTCATTTTTCGACTCGTCGTCTAGAGAGTCCTCCGAACCCAGATTGCTCTCGAGGTCGTCGTCTTCGAAGTCGTCCGCGTCCGGTTCGCGTTTGAGCGGCATTGACAAGTCGAGACCGCTCGCCGTGTTCTTGTGGTCCTCGGGCGGCAACAGACCTCTCCCGATTAACGCTGCGAAGTTAGAATTCGCCGCGAAGTACGGAGGATACGGAAGGGGAACTCCAGCCAGACCCATCCTCTCCTTCTGGAGCTCGAGCAGTCTCTGGTTCAGAAGGAGCCTAAATTGTACCGGATCAAAGGGCGCGGAAGACTGATCTCTCGCCGGGGGCTCCGCTGGAAGACCGTGGGGTGCCTGTTGCTTTAAGCGCATTCGATGATTGTGGAACCAATTCGTAATCGTTCTAGTGGAGAGTCCCAACTCTGCCGCCAGAAACTCTATCGTCGGCATGTTGGGGTAAGGATCGAGAGCGAACGCGAGCCTCAAAGCTTCCTTCTGTTCTTCAGAGAACAGGACGCGTTGTTTCTTCGCGGAGGGAACGCCCGACGTCGGACCTGGAGAGCTGGAGTGATAAAACTCCGACGTGTCATTAGAAGACGTGTCGGAGGAGTTGTCTTGTCCTGGCCCACTCGACCGTCTTCTCTTGTTGGCTTCTCTTCTCTCGTTCTTTAAGGCTTGCAGTCTATCTATATTGTGCGCATCGCTGAGCCAGAGCTGCATCCTGATGAAGGGTTCCCGCCCCTTTATACTCAGCATGTGCCAAGGCTTCGGTTTAGATAGGAGTTCGCTGACGGATCCTTGGGAGAGACCTAACACCGCTTCGCCAAAGATTTTCTGGCCAATGTTGTTGGCGAGGAGGGCCTCTTTGATCTTCGTGGTGATGGTTTGCGTGTCGAGGTCCTGCGTGAGAGCCGCCATCTCGTAGACGCTGGGCGACATGTGCTGGTGTAGCGCCCTCATCTGGTGCTGGGGTGGCGGTGGAGGCTTCCTCTCCTTGTTTTCATGGTGCTGAGGGGGCAACGTCACGGCATGGTGTGGAGGAAAGCCGGGGGGTGTCAGCAGAAGAGGTCCCGGGGGTAGATGGGGCATGTGGGGCCCCAGAAGCTGCTCATGTTGCATCTTGCTCAGAAGGGAAGTCGCGTCAGAGATCATCTTCTGGGTTGGCGGCATCGGCTTGCTCATGTTCGGCGGACAGACTGAAATAGATACAGATGGTTAACACTGAATCGATATTCTTAAGAGAAAGTTTTGTATCAGTAAAAAAGGTAGGAATAACATTTATCGAATTATTATTATATATTATAAATGTGTTGTGTGAACAAAAACCTAAATGTACTTACCGGGTGCTCCGCTATAGTTTCCAGTCCTCATGAGCTTTTCCGGTGCGATCTTGTACTGCGACGCAACCAGCTTGTGAACCGCGTTGTCGTCCTCCAAAAACATCTTCATTCGGATGAAAGGCTCTCGTCCCTTTTGAGTCAACATGTGCCAGGGCTTCGGCCGCGCCAACAGGTCACTGACCGAGCCTTGCGACAGCCCCAAGACGGACTCCCCGAACAGCCTTTGGCTTATGGAGTATTGGCTCAACGCCTCCTTCACTCTTTTCACTATATCTTCAGTGTTTAGGTTGTTGAAGAGATCGAACTGCTGCTGCGTGATCGGGGGCAGAACGGCTTTCATAGACCGCTGGGGAGGCGCATGGTGCGGGGGGTTCGGGGGTTGCGAGATCAGGCTGTTTGTGATAGAAGCCATCCTCTGCAGAGGACTAGCTGCCGCCGAGCTATTGAAGTCTTCGTTGGGGGTTATCGCGGGTGGAAGTATGGCATTGCCTAGCGGGCTGGACGCCGAAGAGCCAGTGGACTGTTGCCCCGGTTCTAATTTAGGCCTAACTAGGGAGAAGGCGCTTCCTGCGTGCCTAATGGCCTCCTCTGCATCCATCTTATCCTTATCACTATCAGTCATTCCATTAATTTTGGCATTTTTGTCTTTAGGCAGTGACAGGTCCTGGACGGCACCGGATCCGTTGATGTGCGTCTGGGCCTGCAATTGCTGGAGGGCTATGAGGTTCGGGAAGGGGGGTATTCCTGGAAGGTTGTGAATGGGAATGTTTCCTCCCTGGATCTTGGCGAGTTCTCGGTGATAGGCTTCGAGAGCCATGCGGATGTCTTCGGGGGGCCGCTCTATCTGAGGTGGCATGCCGCCGCTAAAAAAGGGAGGAAACATTCTGTATGTTAGTTTTAGATTTGCTGTTCTCATTTCAATTTTTTTCGTATATAATAAAAATACATCATAAAAATAAATAAAATAAAATATGTTTATTATGGAATATAAGATACAGGTATCACTTATTCCACGTCATTAAATTTGAATAGGTAGATATCCCTACTCATCGGCAAAGAGACAGAGGGTGTAGGCCGAGAGAAAAAGCCGGCGTAAAATACTCCCGGTACTCATTTAAAATAGCAAATCATCAAACAACACTTATTTTAATATATAATTAATTACATCAATGCCGGCAATAAATATATTAAAATAAAGAAAATTTCAAGCAGTAACTAAACTAGAAAATTTTATAAGATATGAATTTAAACCCCGTCTTATAACGATTATCGTAATATATACATTAAATTTTTTTCCTACTTTTTTTTTAAATGAACATCAAACCCACTTACCCAGGGAACCCTTCTCGGTTGTGCCGCATATCCTCTCCTCGCCTCGTCATAATCTTGGCGAGTTCTTCTTGGTAAATGCGGACTACTTTCTCTTGAGGAATGTCGTCGTTTTCGTATTTCTTCAGCCTTCTGTTTTGACTTGAATCCTGAAATGTTTCCATTAAACAAATTAACACTTACTTTATAATCGTAATAAAATTATTGTGTGGATATTTTTAGTTTTGAACGAGCTATTTCGTGAAAATGTGATCGCAATGTTGCGCTTCCAAAAGTAAAGACTGAAAATTATCTCAACATTTACTTAATAAAGTCATTATCAAAAAATTTGGAAATCAACTCAATTATAATTCGAAACTTACCTTATTAGAGAAAGGCGAAGGGCACTGAGTTCGTGGCGAACTGGAGTCTTCGTTGCTCATCAGTGTGCTGGAGTCATCATTATTGGGCAGTCCGGTTGGAGTTTTAATCATGTGGGATGCCTCTGTAAGGATATGTGCCAGTCTTTCGTCACCTTCACCATCTGATCTCCCGAAACCAGCACCTGCTGTGCCATCTTTCGTTCCTACTGAAAGAAATTTGTTTGCCTTTAATACATTTATAAGTTAAATTAAGATTAAAACGATATAAGTTTGTACAAATGAAGATATTATTTGTTTTTTCGGGGATCAAGTTAATATATGATCTGTGTTCAAATACTGTACTGTCATGATGATGTGATGTAATAGAGTGGTATCCGAGGAATGGGAAACGAAAACGAGGAGGACAAAACAATGGGAGGACGATCTACCAAAAGGATGGAGAAGGTCTGCCAAGACGTGGAAACAATTGGAGTTCTATGTCGACATACAACTTGACCAAAATGGTTGCTAATAAATTTATTATTTTTGCTATGTAAGTTTGATTTAAGAATACTACTGTTTTATAAGAATAGCATATAAGTTAAAAAGGTCAGCGAATAAAGGGCTTTTCTTATACTACTATCATTTAGCCCCTCGCCACTAACACCACTCCCAGGCTACTCGCGGCGAACCCTGTTACGTAGAGAAACCTATTATCGAGACTGCGGTTTCCAAACCCTTTGGAACTACTAGCAGCTGGGAGATGGGGTACACGGACACATGAATTTAGTCCGGTTGAAGGGTGTTTGCATCAGGGCGCTTTTGATGATAATCATGCAAGACAAGGGGAAACAACTGCACTAACTAAACTTGTCATGAAGTATGCGTGATATTGAGAGAACGACAGCCCAGCTACCCATGGGTTACAAGCTGAGGATAGGGTGGTATGGAGTCAGCAAGTCGATGTATCGGGTTTTCAAGGGACGACAGACACGATATTGAATATTATGTAGAAAAATCAAGAGTTTTAATTGGTTCTTGGAATGATTAATGATGTTATAATTAAAGTGCCAGTATCCAAGTAAATCTCTTTAACATTTGCGCTGTCAGAAGAAAACTTAACAGTTAAATCAACATGAAACTATTCGAGGAGATGTATTCACAAAGCGACTCAACATACATTTGTAACAATATTTCATCGCATACAATTTTAATTGCGGTTAAATTGTGTTGTGTACATAGGCGGCCGCTTCTTGCCAACTAATAAATACTAAAGTTATATTTGGTACAATTGAAATTAGGTGGACCATTAAAACGCGCAGTTCTGCATTAATGATATACTCTGAATGGGGCCGCCAGTCGTCGCCTAAGCCAGTAATCCGGCGCTGGCGCATCCATAAACAACGAGAAATACGCGAAATCTACGCGCCATGTTCTGGTCGTTCATCTGTCAACATATTGTCTCTGGTTTTGCGCTATTCAAGATTCATACATATGGTTTTTATCACGTATAAGATAGAATATGTACTGGACAAATTAAGGTGTATGTACTCATGGTAATATTACAAATCAAATCGTTCAATAACTGTACCGTTAAACAGTTATAATAGTTCAGAGTTGTCCGTGAGAACCTACGTATAGGTAGGTTACCTATTTAATAGCACCTTTGACGACAATGTACGCCTATTTTAGCTATATACTCTATACTTTGCTAAGTATAGACAACTAGAACGAAAGTTTTAAGTCTATTGTCTATGAGGATAGTTTAGACCATAAATAAGACGTGTGTCTGACAATACAGATACCAAATTGGACGCTAATATACTTTTATTATATTTATTTTGTTGTAAGACATCAGCTGTCGGCACACTTAAACCTTTTTGGAAATATTTACTCTGCGGTGTGTTAACGACTACCAACACGGAGACGTATTAATTTTCAGTGTACAAAGACTTAATTGCATTCTTAAATTTTATTTTGAAACCGACAATATGTTCAGCGATGCGCCGTGAAATTTCGCTTATTTTAGATTTTATTGTCCAAGCGAAAATAACACTTGATTAATCGCAATTAGAGATTGAATTAAAGTGCATTTTATTGTTTTTATTCGGGAGTGTGTTTTTATTGGGATGTAAAGTGCCTTTTATTTAATGTAACGTAAAAACGTCAATTTGGATAATCTGGGAAACGTCTTTGTGAGTTTATGACGTTTTGAGGAACGCGCTAATTATAAAAGCACTTCTTTTTGTGTTGTTAATAATCTATGTAAAATTGGTACAATAGCGGCCTAGTGGCGATGTAATGACGAAATTGTTTGACAAGACACTTTCCCTCCATAAACGAGATTGTCAAAATGTCATTGGCCAAAATTTAAATTTGATACTTGTCGTGTTAGAGGCAGTTAAATTGTGGGAATGAGCATCCACTAGTCCAGTTATTTACGCAACTTTCGCCATTTTCAAAGCATTTCTCACGTACCACTTCAATACTTATTATTCATGCGACACTCTTATCCCCCGATTCGTTATTTTTTATATTTACACACGATTTTTTGTGAAATCACCGTTCGGAGTTAACTACTTATGACTAAAAACGTGATACTTTTTAAAGATGGCGGACGGGTCTCAGATTACATCTACATGACCATAATGTTCACGGTTTTCAACTCATAAAGCATAGACAATAACTCTATATACGTGATTCGGTTTCTTAATTGCCTAGTTTAGTTTTTAATGTCCGCTTAATTGGGCATCAATGGTTATCTCGGAAATATTGCTTATGGAAGTGCCCCGTCGGTTTCTCTATCTGATTTAAGACTTTACCTGATTTGGTTGAAAGAGCTTTACTAAGAAAACTATGATCGCGTCACGCTAGCATTGAATTAATTACACACAGACGTGTGTCTTAAAGACAGATTCAATTTAACATTTATGTGTTACAAAGGCGATCCGCCGGTAATATTCACTTCGCAATTTATCGCGAACATTAAATATCAAGCCAATAAAGATTTAAAATTTCATCCGCGTCCCGCGAGCGCAGCGCGACAATCAATTAGTTTATTTCGACTCCATCCGATTAATCCGTCGATAAATTTCAACACACGTCTATTAGTTCCTTTGATCTTTTACAATGGGTTTTGTTATTCTGAATACGAGTCGAGGACAATTACCGATACGTGCCGCGCGATATCATCAAATTCTTGTTTTGCTCAGTTTTGAGCCGCCATGTTTGGTACTTACAGTGTGTCAATCGATCTAGCTTTAGTTATCTTTCCTTGGGTGAAGTGTGAAGCGATACTATCTTCTATATTGCGGCTATTATGATTGCGTTTTGACGGTTATTGAATGAATAAAAAGAAAGCTATAAATTTATACAGTCCGGTCACGGAAGCTTTATTTATCAAGAACTGTCTATCCTATAATTACTATTGCTATTTCTTATTAAAAGCATTTCTTCCCAAAGCTTTAAAGGGCATCCTTCATGGATGAATACCGGTAATCCGTAGAATAATTACAGTGACGTTTTTAATTTACTTTAGATAAAGATTAAGTGTCACTATTTAATTGGCTCAAAGTCTTGCGGGTTATAAAGTGGGGAAAGGGGAAAATATTTGTTATTGTTAGTACCTGTATCGCGTGCACGCACGCAAAAATAAGGTAATACCACTGTGGCCGTTATTGATTGCTAATGCCCCATGAATATTCAGGACCTTTGAAAGGTAAAGGCGCCCTAAATTATCGTGTCACTGCGACAGCGAAAAAATATAGTTAATTTTTACTCGGGCCACATATCGGTTTGGTGGCGAATGGAAACACGATTCCGGAATTGTAAATCAAGGCGGGTAGTCGGAAAGAAAGGGGTGAGAGCGCGTCAGACGTCACGGCGTGAATCGATGCTCATTTGCATTATAGTCGTCCGTGGAGGCGGACGTCAGGGCCGCTCGAAAGTGTTGCGGGAAACTAAAAAATGCCCGCATTTAAATTGTTAATGAGATGCAAAAGAAATAGTTGCATAACCGGTGACTGCAGTCGAAATTAGGTGCTAAATGTTGGTATGAAATGTGAATTCGTGATTCCTCCAATTGTGTCAGCCAGCCAACAATGCAACATTTTTATAATTTATCTTCGCCGTTCATTTTCAAAACTGTTTTGATGGAAAAATACCGTATTTACTTCTATTTTTCTACAATTACATAGCAAAAACGTTGATTTATGGAGCGACGGGGGCAGAAAAAGTGAAGAAAATACTTAATGAATCTAAAAAGTCGTTGCATTGCTGTCAATAACTCACTCAACTCCTGTGGCCTTTCCAATGAATTATGAGAGTAAGCACGTTAGAGAATTTCTTTTGTCCGAAGTTTTGTGGCGTGCGTAGGGGCAGATATCGCGTGCTAGATGGCAATCAGCCGGGGGCAGCGACCACGATTGATTCCGTCGAGAGGCCGAATGATTGCCTCATGTTTTGAACTAGCAAAAAGTGACTATAAAACGGGCGTCACGTATCACTCGCGATGAAACTTTTATGAAGTACCTTGGTCGCTTTGTTGTTTGTTCGTGAGCTTATACAGGACATCGGCTTGGACGGACTAATATTGTAAAGCTTTCCTGTCTCTAACAGACTACGTTTCCTAGATAAAGTTAATATAATAACAATGACCGAAGAATATTGCTGAGTCTTTGTAACTACTAAAAGTACAAACAAACCAGTGGCGCTAGAACCTTTTTCTAGGTCTGGGCCTCAGATTTCTGTATCTGCTTCATGATCATTTGTCAAACTAATAGGCAAGTAGGTGATCAGCCTCCTGTGGCACACGCCGTTGACTTTTCGGTTTTGAGGCAATATTTCCTCGCGGTATTTCTCTTCAGAGTTTGAGCGAATGTTAAATTCGCACATAGAAAGAATTCCATTTGTGCACAGCTGGGGATCGAATCTACGACCGCAAGGATGAGAGTCGTACGCTGAAGCCACTAGGCCAACACTGCTTTTATCGACCTATTCTTGTAAGCTATTTTCCGCCTATTTCCTATCAAATATCGCTGTACGGAGGAGCATAATTGTAGTGACGCTGAAATTTCCCTCGAGTAAAGATAAAAACATTACGGTTTGCGGACGTCGGTAGTTTGTAACTAGATTCGATAATCAATTTTGCGCTGACGCTGCAACCCCAGCTCGGAGACAGAGCAACAAATTTTTAATACTAAAGAGGAATTTGCTGTGAATTATTCTT